GTATAGGATACAGGAGTCTTCTTTTACACAACCAAGATTTCTTACTCTCCAAGCAGAGGTTTGGGATTGGGGTTGTTTTTAGCATGTTTTTAGGCTTTTTTATCGGGGTTTCGCTTTTGCACTGAATTTATTTTCCACCAAACCCAAAAAAAATTCAGTGGAAAAAAATTCAGTGCAAAAGAGAAACCCTGATAAAAAAAAGCCTCTGCTTGGAGAGTAAAGATTTCTCACCTAAGGCCATGTTGACTTGATAATATGGATGACATCCTCTGGGAACCCCAAAACTGATGCGCGTATAAGAAAAAAGTTTGGCAGAAACAAAAAGTTGCCTTCATTTATGAAATCTACATGGTCATTAATATTGAACAAATGACACATGGTATAGTATGGCGAATAAGCTACTCTTCAAATCCATTTCTTTACATTTTTGTCATACATTTTTGGCATTCTACGACATAGGTATCGTTTTCCAATATTTTAATTCTTTTAGCAAGGGAACATATTTTCTCATTTTGCAACTGTTTTAAACGATTTACAATATGGTTGAAAACTTTTTTTTTTCGGAAACGGCCGAAATCCATGCGCGTGGATGTCATCCATATAATCAAATCAACATGGCCTAAGTGCTGACGTTTCGGTGTCTATCAGATACCTCCCCCTCGGAGTTTCTGACTGGAGTTCTGACTGGGATTATTGTGTTCTCTCCGCAAAAGCGCCACCTACATCGGCTACAGATAGCGGCGAGAAGTAGAACTCCAGTCAGAAGCTCTGAGGAAGGTGTCTGATAGACACCGAAACGTCAGGACTTAGGTGAGAAATCTTCGTTGAGAAAATTAAAAAAAAAAACTCCTGTATCCTAGAGAAGTGTTCCATAACAAAATAAATGCCCCGGTGTTGTTATTTAACGCAATCACTCGTGTCTCACCTTCACTTCGACCTACGTATAATCGGATAATACATACATATACAACATGTATGAATAATTAAGGATGCACATTCCCACATTCCCCTTGTACTTCACAACGTCTTTTGTGTTGTACAGTACATGACATCCGGTAAGCAGTCTTTATTGGCCCATATCCTTGGGTGCACCTGTGCCACGGCGGCCTGTGATTGGTTGATCCGCCAACCGCCAGTATCTAGCCCGACTTTCTATTTTTAGCCCCCTGTGCGTGTAGTGACTACGGGGATAGCTGTGCCTGTGGGGGATATCCCGGGGCGTAAAGGCTGCTTTGTGTGGTAGAGGTGAACCTTGAGGCACAGGTTCAGACCAGGTGCTTTATCTCTTTTAAGTTGTCCTTCAGACTCAATAAAAATCACGTTAAAAAGGCTACACCACAATGCTGAATGTGTAAAAGAGCAAGGCAAGTTGTCACTGAGATTGTGTAAAAGCTCTATGTTCGTCTGATATGGTAATTTTGACGTTCAAAGTCTCACACGTATATACAGCTGTGTTTCCATCCTGTTTATTTGTCTTGATAACCATGAATTCCTATACGGCATGTTGTGATGTTTGTTCAGTCACATGGTGAGCAAAAGCAGCAGAAGCAGAACACTCGAATCTTTGAATAAGCTGCATAATTTTACTCCCAACTATTGATAAGATAAATTGAATGTCCTTTTTTTCTGGCAAAGGAAATTGACCGAAAACATAACACCACTATATTACAAGAGGAAAAATTAAAAAAAAAGTTTTTTTTTAGATATCTAAACGTCCTAGCCTTGGCTTGACCAAACTTAAACGCACGCGAGGTGTTACTTAAGTTAGACCAAGCAAGAAGATTAAAAATTAAGATTTCAACCGCCTTGTCTAAACCCAATACATTATACGTTCAGAAGTGGGTTTAATAATCTAATCCATCAATGCGTTTTTTTCCGCAATAATTTTAGTCCTGTTCCTACCTAGATGAATGCCTTAATCTCCAAGCAGATGTTTCGGTGGCTGCAAAATGCAGTATCAAATTACCCAGGCAGTATGCATTGGCCAGACAGTATCCATTTGCTGATATTGGGTGGCTAATAGATACAGTCTGGCCAGTAGATACTGCCTGGGCAGTTTGATACTGTATTTTGCAGCCACTGAAACATCTGCTTGGAGATTAGGGTGCCCTTGCACTAGAACATCTGACAAGAATCGCATGGGAGAGCACCAGTGCAAGTAGAAAAACTAAAATTATTGTATTTTATATACAAAGGGTGGCCGTTTACCCCAAAACTGCTCGTTTTTATTTGACAAGCATGTAGTTGAAATTGTAACGTCATATACTTATCTCGGCATTATTGTGAACTCAGCCGGCACGTTTAAAGCAAATAATAAGTACTTGAGTTGCAAGGGTTTGAAAGCTTTATTCGGAATTAAACAGTCGCTAGATCAAGCCAACGCCTCACTATCAGTTAAAAACAAACTTTTCGACACTTGTGTAAAACCTATTTTACTTTACGGCTCAGAAATTTGGGGCTCAGCCAAAAGCCCTAGATTCTGCCATTGAATCCGTCCACCTTAATATTCTGTAAACAGTCTCTGAACGTTCCTACTCAGCCTGTAACTTTGCATCAAGGGCGGAACTAGGGAGGTACCCAATGCACCTGGAGGCCTCCCTAAATGCCATTAAGTATTTTCTTCGTATATGCCAAAACGTGCCGTCTGACAGTCTGCAAGCGGACGCCCTCTCATGTCAACTACAACTAGAGCTGGGCGTCCGGTATTCGTAACACTTTGGACTTTTACAAGTGGTTTTATTTGGAGGAATGCGGTTTTGCTTACAGTATGGCGTCCTGATGTATCTCTTAGCACAAACCTATCACCAATAATTAACTCCATCAGCCAACGATTGAAAGATATTTTACACCCAAACATTTATCACTGAAATCCACAATGACCATAACAGAGGTACATGTACATCTTCTAGTAACATCTTCTAGTAACAAGTTACGAACGTACCGTTTGTTTAAAAGTATATACAAAGTACCTATCGGTTAACAACATACAATATACTTTAAATGCATTCAATTAGCGGTATGTACCCCCAAAAATTGTGACAGGACTGACCATTTTGCATGTTATACATGGTATATCTAGTATATGTGATACGGGCGGTTACAACAATGCAGCACGCGGGAAATACAGACTACTTGGACATGAATATGTCAGCCCGACGATTTCAATCATTTCCCATCGTAGGGTACGCGCGGTTCTAACAATACAGCACTCAGAACACAGTACATGAATATGTCGGCCCGACGGCTTTAATCACTTTCCGTCGGTGCGACCTCATAGATTTCTTTTGTTGCTTTTGTCATGATAAAATTCAGACAGACAACATAACGATACAGTATATTAAAGTATCGATTCGGTTTGGTGTTCTCATTCCTGTTTGGAGATTGGGACGAGCGAACATCATGCTGAAGTGGTTGAAGACTGCGAATCCGTCCTTGGCGCCTTCTACCACGGAAGGATCGAAGTACGAGAACACAACATCCCCGACTGCCAATCCGTCCATGGAGCCTTCCGCCACGCCAGGCTTGCCGAAGCCTCTCGAGACCGAGAACCCCAGAATGACCGCCGCTGCCAACAGAGAAGTCGAGAGAGTCATGGCGGAGTCCGGGAGCCGGAAAAGAAAGAGGGGCAACTACGGGAACTACAGCCCCGAGATGCGAGCCAAGATCGCCAAGTTGTGTCTGGACATCGGAGCCTCTAAGGCAGCTCGGCAGTTGTCCAAGGAAACTGGCCGCCAGATCAACGAGAGTACAGTGCGATCCATCAAGACAAGCTACGTGAAGGAGAAGCAACGACTCGGCACGGACAATGTTGAGAACTTGCCACGCCGAAACGTGGGGAGGCCGCTGAAGCTGGGAGGGCGGAATGAGCAGATGGGAGATTACGTCCGTAACCTGAGGAAGGCTGGGGGCGTGGTGAACCGCCGGGTGGTGATGGGGGCGGCAAGGGGCCTTTTGTCGGAGCACGGCGGCAGCGTCGAGATCACATCAAGCTGGGCCAACTCATTTCTCCGCCGCATGAACTTTCAAGCGCGAAGGAACGAAAGCGGCGAGAAAATCCCCGAGGACTTTGAACAGACGAAGGAAGGCAGGATCGAGGTGTCAGTAAGAGAAGACAAGATCCCCGACGTGAAAATCGCGAAGTTAGAACCCTCACGAATATAATGCATTTCCAACTTCAATGCTTCCATGTTTTCTGAATGAGCTTTATCATGTGGATATGATGTGAGTTAATAGGAGATGTAGAAACACACAGCAGATGATAAAACGGATCGAGAAATTACGAATGTAAATGCTACGATTGTCTTGTAGAAAGTCACCAAGGTCATATTTTTTTGTGCACCAGTATCGTATCGTCCGAACGCTCATAGGATTATCTGTTTGTCAAATGAAGACGGGATGCATGAAACCTGTGTGGTAGACTTTCAAGTGTGCATGTACATGTAAGAGTAAAATAAGTGTGCTAGCCATGAGTGTCATTGTATACATGAAAATACTAGTACGTCGCGCCCGATCTTCGTCGACGGCTACAGTTGCGGTACAAAATTGTGAAAACAAATAAAGTTCTCCAAAATTACCTAAGTAACTTTATGAAATTGTTACCATGATAGTCGACTACCTTTTGTCATTTTGTGTGGTACTAGTAGGTTTATTTTTTCCACATATTTTTTCGACAAATCATGAGGAACATGGTAACGTAAAGCTAGCCTCCACCTAGCCGTGGACGACTCGAGTAATCCTTGCATGATTATAATGCAAAAAGGATTACTCGAGTCGTCCACGGCTAGCCTCCACCAGGCCTTTCGACGGGAATACGGATCGTAGAATAAAAAAAGAGAGTAAAATTGTCCAAGGGAGTCCAGCCGCGGGGAGGTACTTTCTTTTCGGCCAATCAAATCAAGGCGGCCAAACTCCCCTGGCAATTATTCTCCTATATATAGCCAGCGTAGTTAGTCTGGTAGAGACTAACGCAAAGCACGCGGTATAAACGTACATGTGTAACTATCCCTCTGACCGGAGAGTAAACGTTACGTCAGATTATGCTTATGATGATAAATCGCATTTGAATAATACATAGCTGTTGGCGCTAGCGCCCTTTCTTGTGATTCATGAAATAACAGGTAACCCATCACGAGTCTCGTGAGTGCCATTGGTATGTAGTCACAGCAAAGCACCTGCCGATCAACCTGGATTGAGGCTTCCTCTCTGGATCCCCTTCCAAGGAGGAACACGTTTTGCAGCAACAACCGGCAACACAAGCTGCAGAGAACGTTTTCCAACGGTCTATCTGTGACAAAACTTGGAATTGATGAAGGAGAAACGATCCATGGGTGTAAGGCAGGATTTGCGATGTCACACACACACATGCGCGCGCGCACACACACACACAGATATATATGTAAACACACACACTCACTCACACACACACACACGCGCGCGCGCGCGCACACATATATATATATATATATATAAACACACACATACACTCACTCACTCACACACACACACACATACACACACGCACAGATATATAAACACACACACACACACACACACACACACAGATATATATGTGAACACACACACACACACAGAGAGAGAGAGAGAGAGAGAGAGAGAGAGAGAGATGTAAACACACTCACACACTAAGAATGATAACAACAATACCTCCAATACCGGTAACAGTACCGCAGTGCAGTTCTAGTCACGGATCAATACTGTGTGCTATATTTGTCGAGACCTTTGCTATTTGCGGAAAGAGTTGACTTTGCTGTTTTCACCTTTCATCAGAATTTTTTTCGCACACATCGTAATCCTCTCTGAAAATGTCCTCCTCCCTAACAAAAACTAAGATATGCGAATAAAACGTAGTAGTAATAGACGGACACGATTGGCCTGTACTGAATAACAGGCGGAATAGGTCTGTTCTCTGCGTCAAAAAAGTCAGACAATTACACAGAGAGAACTGAGAGGAAAGAACGGTTTATTGAGCCTCCACAACACCACACATGGGCAGCTATGGAAAGGAACTGCCGCATGACTTAGTGAGGATCGGAACATTCAGACAAACTCCTGACGAGAAGACTTCGCCGATCACTGTCTGTCAACAATTCCTTTTCATCATCGGTTGTTTTTTACAACACAACACAACACAACACAACAGAACAAAGTCCGGCTTAATCACACAGCGCATGTCAGTTATGTCACCCCACAGTTTAATCATCGAGCTAACTACACCAGTTCAACCTTCCACCTGCTTCTGTTGTTGGGAACCAAGTTAAGATACTAATACACCATCTCACTCTGTCTTAGCCTGGTTTCCAGTCTATCCTCTTTATTTCTCTTTATTTCGATACCCTGTAGCCCAAAAGGCTAATCTTCAGGGCTCATACAAAAGTCTATCGTGGTTGGGACGGGTTGTCTTCGGGGCTGCAGAAGCTCTTCCCCGCCCGACTCAGCTAGGTTCCCCGGTAGGTTTTGCACGTCACTCCTGGCGTGCAAAACTCCGACGGGCATAACACTGCAGGGCGGTCTATTGAGCTGGACAAGGGAAAACTATCTACAGAGCCCCGAAGACAGCCTGCCCCAATCACGATAGACTGGACCAGACTGCCACTAACTTGGCTCTTCACATCTATACCTACTTATGATTAACGATGTGATGATGCACATGCCCGTAGCCAGGGGGGGGGGGCCCACAAGGCTCAAAGGTCCACTTTTGGTCCACTTTTTATGTAAAGGTCCAAGATTTTTCTTGAAAAGATGGACTGGAATCGTAGAAAAACTGCTCCCTTTGTCATTGAATAAAAATTTATTTTTGGAAATCCTCTCAAAAATGCACGAAATGCCATTTTAGAAGGTTCGGTTCATTTTTCAAAATTTTCCGGGGGAGCATGCCCCCGGACCTCCTAGGAACCTCGCGCCTACGGCGCTCGAGGTCCCTTCAAGCAATGGGAAGAACCCCCCCCCTTCAAAATCCTGGCTACGGGCATGATGCAAAACGTAGAAGGTGAACAGGTCTCTACTGCATGATGTAAAATGATGATCATCTACGGCACGACAGACCGATACAGAAACAAGCGCGCAGAATGTGGTTTAGCTCGTTCTACATGTTCACAAGCACGGTCCGACTGTTGGTTTCTCTATGCACATGGACTTGTACAGTAGCTCTGTCTCCATGCATCGCGTCATTGATACCAGTGGTTCACGAAGAACCGGTCACAGTCGTTCCGCGCCATTACACGTCATTTTAGCCTGGCCTGGGTACCATCCGGATTTTTCAATGCTCAAAATCCGGATGGTACCCGGGGTACATTTAGTCCACATTGCCTTAATTTTATGGATGACATCATCTGAAGACCCCCCAAACTAGCGCGCGCCGGCGAATCCCCATCCCCCCCCAAAAAAGCTGGTAAACCACAGATTTTTTTTGAGGCGGAAATCAATCACCCATAAAATTATATCAGTGTGTCCTCACACCACACCTGCAAATCGCTCTGAGGAATGGAGTGTATGGTAACAACTACTATAGGTAGTTAAACAGTCCTTCCATTCAACCAAAACGTTCAAGAAAAAGCAAATACAAAGCAATAGATCTCGAAAAACCATTTCCAACAAGAGTTGGTACTTGGTAGGGACAAGAAAAGTGACTTGCATACATTTTCTTTCTCGTGTCAATGTCGTTTGGTTCTATCATCAAGGAGGTTCAATCAGTAAACCTCATTGGTTCTTTGTAAAAAAAAGGAGCAGAGGAAGGTCAGTCCCATGGAGGACGTCATACCCTTCCCATGATGAGCCAATCAGCCACCTTCACCCTCGTGACGTCACACAGACTCATCCAATCAGAATCGAGACAATTATACTATACCCTGATCACGTGACATCTGTTATCCAGCACCTATGCACTGCTGTGCACTGAATGTTAATGAATAACATCTACATTGCATTGACCTGCTTCATGTGTGCGCTAATTACTGAGGTCATGTGCATCAATACACTGGCAGCATTCAATTCAGCAATTTAGGTAAGGAGAGCACATGGATGTGAACATTCGAGAAACTTCTCCTTTCCCAGTCTTTCCAAACTTTCATCGCATGGAATGATTGAAAAGTTAAATATGCAATGATGTGATGCACAGAATAACTAGTAAACATCGAATCTATTTCAGGCCGGATAGTAGAGATACCTGTAAGGACTTGGTTTTTCAACCGTATTTTGCACAATACTGAAATCAAAGAAAATCAGTAGATCTAGAACCCTACAAGCCTTTGCATATTGCAGAGCTGATCTTGGTTCCGTGAGCTTATTGCGCCTTGCTCTCCGTCTTCTCCCGTCCGAAGCCGTAGTAGATGTCCTCGCTGTACTCCCGGTCCGTCCTGCGCACCGTGCCGTACATCATGTCGATAAACTTGGTGTTCATCCCGAAGTTGACGTGGAAGTAGCTGTGGACATGGCAGACAGCGGTATACACGTGTAAGCTGAGAATGACATCCCAATTGCAAAGGAAGAATAATTCCCGCTTGATTAGTTTGGATTAAATGGATTAATTATGAGCTTACTAAGTTATACTGGTATTATATACTAGTAGTTATACTGGTATTATATTTATGGTTACAACTAGGTTTTTATCGTCATTGTGAACTGTTTGCTATAAAAGCACGTGTACTAGTTTAGAATATCTTTGTTTCCGTTCTTTTTAATCAGTTAAGTATCATGTACTTATTAAGTCTAAAGGAGGCGGGCTCAGTATAAGCATACAAGGCTTGTCGCACTATGTGAATACATTGTGCGAATAAATGAAAGAAATTCATTTTATGACAATCGCAGAGAGTAAGTAACGGTTTTCACTTTGGCCGTGTTTATGTGAAGTCACTCAAACTGCGATTCGGGTAATTCACATTCCTCACATCTGGTCCACGTGCCATACATTCCTTGCAAACCGTGTCCGATCACAATTCGCTTGAGCTACATTTATTGTTGTTTGATGAAACCACGCAAGGTAGCGTGTTTTTAATGTCAGAGGTCAACGACCTGCTTGCTGATGCCCCCCTCCCAGCGTATCTCGGCCGAATGCCGACGTGGTCCCGCCAGAGGCGGTGAAGCTCGCCCACATTATATGACCATTACTTCTGTTTAAGTTGCTGCCACGTAAAATTTGGTATTGTGTATAAATAAAGAAATATAACCCCGTAATCCATGACCAGGCAAAGTCACATTGAAATCACATTGCGTTCAGACGCAAATCGCGATGCGGGAAAACCGATTCGAAAGTGGTTTGGGATCGAGGCGCTTTCAATGTGATTTGGAGCATTCAGATGGAGCCACTTGGAGCCGGCGTCGGGGTAAACCACATGTAAAGCGCCTTGGGTGACTTCACATAAACACGGCCAAAAACTCGACTCAAACGTTGACAGTCAACCCGTGGTTATGTGGAAGAGCAGGTACTCACAGATGGTGGTCGTCGTGAAACAAGGTGTCCTGTTGCCATGGCCACGGAGACACGCTGATGATGCCGGAGTGGTCCCTCATGCCGTAGTAGTAGGTCCACAACAAGACGCCAACGTACGAACCTGTCCAGATAAATGAAAGATATATCTATATATCTATATATCTATATATCTATATATCTATATCTATATCTATATCTATCTATCTATCTATCTATCTATATAGATAGATAGATAGGCCGTGTTTATGTGAAGTCACCCATATACACTAAGTTTACATGTTCACAAGGAATTTCTGCATTGTCAATTTGATTATCATCACACAGATGCCAACAAAAATATATATATTGTTAGTAAAAAATATCAAAATCCGCCAGAAAATCGATCCTGGGCAGAATTTGAACTGTCTCCACAAAAGCACCAAATTAGGGCTACATGTACCGGTAGTTAGATGTATTCTAAGCAAATCTTCATTTTAAAAAAGTGCACAATTGGACTGAAAAATCACTAACCGTATGTTTACCTTTGTGGATTTCTGGACAACCCGATAGAAAGTCAACTCCATTACTACATACATGTATATTGCTATCTTCATAAGAATAGTGGTAATACCTGCTATAAACGTGGTGCCCCATGTCCAATGGTTTGGGTTTTGTTCGATTTTCTCACAATCTTATAGCAACCGAATGTGGCTACACGCAACGATTCAAAGTGATGAGATTGTCTGCCTTATATTGTGTGCTCATATTGTTTGTATTCATTTGTTATTTCTATGTAGTATTATATCTTTGTTGATTCTTTTTATGTTCGATGGCGGCGCTTATATAGTCGTATTAAGAGTGCGTCGCCATCGCTGTCTTGTATTTCTTTTCTGATGCTTTAATAGTGACGAGAAGATCGTTTTACCGGCATACAGGGGGAAGATGAACATGGGAGCCGCCATGATGCACTGATTGAGGAGGAACTCAAACGGGTGCATGGCGCTGGCCGTGAAGGCGGTGGGCTGGATGTAGCGGTGGTGCCACTTGTGGATTTTCTTGTACAACACAGGCAGGTGCATGATTCTGCAGGAGAACGAACGTGCAACACGGTAACTAGACATGCTAACATGCAGTATATAGTAGAGGGGATTCATTCCTCAAGCTACCGACATCTTGCACACGCAGTCGTCCCTCAGTAAGACATCTGGAGCCGCATGGTTCCCGTTTAGAACTTTTATTCAGCCTGTCACACGACCGGTTTCACCGGTGTGGCTTCTTCAAGTGTACAGAGGCTAATGACACAAGTGCATGAAGTTCTCACCTATATATAGGCTGAATAAAAGTTCTAAACGGGAACTATGCGGCTCCAGATGTCTTACTGAGGGAAGACTGCGTGTGCAAGATGTCGGTAGCTTGAGGAATGAATCCCCTCTACTATATAGACATGCTGACATGGATGGAACTTCTATCGGCAGCAATATATATGGCGAATGTGATTTTGTCATCCATTTATAATCAAATCAACATGGCTTAAGTAGGATGACTTTATCCATACATGTGTTTAGCTTTGTTAGACCTTAGTTGTAGTAGACCATACGGAAGTCCCTGTATTTTTGTCGAGTCAATAAATAATCTATAAAAATTGCAAAAGATTACACAATCGGTACTTGTGTAATTATAACGTGTGTCTCAGTTTAAAAAAAACAATACCATAATATACCATACCATGTCCGGGACCAAAAAAAATCAGAAATTTTGTTACAATGAGAACGAAAGCCACCAGGAAGCCCGAAGCAACTTTGAGCTTTGTCTTCGCAAACCGTATCACCACAATGCACCCATAACTTCAAATTTATGCTGATCAAAAATATTTGGAAACACAGACAGACCAAATAAACAATACTTCTATTTGTCACCAAGGTAAAAGCAGAACTATCAGCCTAACGTTTCATAATCAACGTGAAAGTGAGCTCATAGATTATGTCTGTAAAACGTTACATCGTTGCCATGTGCTTCTCTCAGTGCTTTCTATAAAACACAATACCAAGTAATACACACTTGAGACACCTATCTTCACGTAGCTACACATACAACGGTGTCAAGGACAGTTAGAAAGTATTAGCCTCTATCAGGCCCCGGGAAGCGGCTGGAGAGAGTAGAAATTGGTCAGAAAGACAGATAACATGCCGGGGGAGTTGGTCCGCTAGCGGGTATCAATTTTCCCGCTCTGAGCAACTCCCCTGGTATATTATCTGTGGTATATTATCTGTCTTTCGTGCCAATCTCTACTCATTCGAGACGCTCCCCGGAGCCTGGTAGAGGCTAAAAAAAAGAAAGATGTATATATAGAAGCCTGTTTGCTATGCGCATAACTACTCACCGGTGAGACCAGTAGATGGTAAACTCGTTCAGCAGAAATACAAAGATGGTAGACAGCACGGTGTACACAATGCTGTAGTCCCACAGACTGAAGTACAGCCTGCTGTACCCGCCGTTCACGATGTAACAGGCGATGGTTCCTGACAAGGTTCCGCCCAGCACCATGTTGAAGGAGCCCAACATCACAGCATGAGCCTCGTTATCCTGAAAGTTACAAACGCGTTAGTCAGCAAAACTGTGATGTCGTGTCACAGCTTCACCGCACCATGCCCTTGTCGGTACCTTATCACCACGTGGTTACCCTAGTCTCCACCAGACTTCTTTTGCGGGGTGAATAAATCGTAGAAATCGGCCTAAAAAGGGTATTAATTGGCAAGAGAAGGTAGCCGGCCAGAGAAGCTCCATTCCGGCGGGCCATAGAGCTTCTCTGGCCGGCTACCTTCTCTGGCAAATTAATACCCTTTTTAGGCCGATTTCTACGATTTATTCACCCCGCAAGAGACGTCTGGTGGAGACTTTGGTTACCCCCATACAACCCAGGCATCCAATGCAATTTCAGGGCGGCAAATCCATATTTCCAAATCCATTTCTCTGGTCATTCTTTTACTGTAGTAAGTTGAATCAAACCTATACCATAGCATAGTGACATCTTTGAGGCAAAATGCGATATCGCTGATAAAAACGGCATCCCCCAATCTTTCTCCCCAGTGCACAGACAAGCAAGGTATGGTTGACCTTGAGGTTTGCATGGCCTTATTGATGTTGATAGTAGTGCTAAAGTTCTGCATGATAAAGGTCATAAACAAGTCACCCAATGTATGTGTTTCTGTCTGTAAGTTTGTTTTCATGTGCATGTCTGCGTGTGTGTGTGTGTATGTGTGTCACTGTGTGTGTGTATGTGCGTGCGTGCACGTGTTTTTGTGCGTCTGTACGTGTGCGTGTATTTCGACGTGCCTATCGTCAATAAAATAATTCAAGATTTTTTATTCTGGCGGGTTTCATCAGGAATGGCTGAAACTGTCCCCGACAGGTACTGTTACTAATCTCCAAGCAGATCTACGGTGGCAAGGCGGTATCCTTTGGCCAGAGGAGTGCCCATTGCCGACACTCCTCTGGCAGATGCATACTGCCTTGCCACCGTAGATCTGCTTGGAGATTGACCGTTACAGGCAGACATGTACTTCACAGTTCAGCCAACAGGATGTGCACAGATTTGTTTTCCTGTATATGCAATAAGAATCGAATTGTCAGACAGCAGTCTGGTACCTTAGTGAGGAACTTGTTGGGCTGACATTTCCACTCCTCCGCCTGGTGGCGCTTCCTGATGTAGTAGTACCAGTGCCAGAACCCTCCCACAGGGTAGTAGATAACGAAGGAGCCGGTGATGCCCATCAGGATGAAGAGGTGCAGGTGTTTCATACCGTAACCCTCCAGGAACTGGTCCAGCACGGAGTGTTCTGCCGTTCCGTTGGCGCTCGGTGCGAGGAAGGACGGCAGGGCCTTGTCTGGGCCATCCTTCCCGCGCAGGTACACCAGCATGATGAGCCAGTCACCTGTGCAGCACGAGGAGAGTCAGAGCAGATATCAAATCAAATCAACTTTATTGCTCAACAACTGTAGCTGGTACAATGTATGGCAAAGAAACAACAATGGTACATACATAAACTAATACTAAGATATAATTCTAACGGGCTAGTCCATAATGATACTAAAGCTAATCTATTGTGTTTTCTTAGGAAGAATATTACATTCTGTAATTAAGGGGATATATCAGCTATTTACAATATGGTGTCGCTTTTGTAGTGATTCAAATATGAATTTTCCAACGTACACTGATATCTCAGTAGGACATGAAAGGAGCAAAAATAGGCTCCCGTCCGTACTGAAGTTTCCATATCGCGACTTCACGGCTTTAGCCTCTTAGACGACGACTTATTCCACGGAGGGAGTTTCCCACTGGCCAGGGATAGAATTTGTGGGGAAAAACTCTCTCCCCGCACTCCCTCGGCGGCAAAACCATCCCTGAGCGGTATAAGTCGCGTCGTACCCCCCCCCAAAAAAAAAACATAACACCGCACGAATCTGCGAAGGCTAACACGGCTTCCATTGTGTCAGGCAACTTTGTCTTTACAACAGTGTCTATCAGTATAGCGTTCTATATACGTATCTACATATAACCTCGTTCAGGCTGGTACATCGGTTGATACGGAATATGCCATGCGGTACTAGTATTCTCTATTTAGTTTTGAAGAATTTTCCTTGATTGACACTTTGATTACTATCGTCTTACGTTTTTTGATTGGCACCTCCCAGTTTCAAACGTTTGCCCAACACTCCATTTAACAGTACTAGGTTACATCAATTTGAAAGTTGAAAGTTTTAAGCATACACCATTTTCTCAATGATTTACCTTATCCTTATAATACCAAAATACAACATTGTCCATAATAGTGGTATTCAAATTTCAATGAATACGAACATAGACGTTTGCACTAAATTTGCACTAAACACTGGACGCACTTGGCAATGTTTATGGTGTAGAGTAAATGTGAGCAACCTAGAATGATATCAATAGATTTCCTATAGGATTAGACTGAGGAAGGCAGGCATGTGAGACAGGCACTTTATACATTCACCAGTTTCCCATCCCCAGAATGCAACGCGAAAACAAGGGGTCTAACCTCATTTGCATAGCACAGGAAGACATCGGAATGATCCTGGTGACGTTAAACAGTTTGTTTTTCAGTGTGTTTTGGGGTGTTGGGTCATTTTATGCTCAAGGTTGATTAAATTACTATGGGTTGAATCTGACAACAAATAGAGAATGAATTTTTTGGAACGACTTGTTTGTAACGTTATAGTGGTAACGCTATACTGATGCTGTAACGTTACAAACCACATGTTCAATGTTAGAAAAAACACAAAAACTTCATTCTCTATTTGTTGTCAGATTCGACCCATAGTAATTTAATTAATGTTGAGCAGGAAATGCCCCAACACCTCAAAACACAAGCTGTTTAACGTCACCAGGATCATTCCGATGCCTTCCTGTCCTATGCAAATGAGGTTAGACCCCCTGTTTTCGCGTTGCATTCTGGGGATGGGAAACTAGTGGTGAATTCTCCCTAGTGTAACGAAAAAAAAAACTCATCAATGAGATCTGATGCGCCGAGAGTTTGGGAAAAAACTGTCCAAATCAAATCTCTATCACCACTGGCTCCCTCAGACAAGAGGCGAAGTAACGGGGAGGTCAGCAAGGCAAAACAACAAATTCGACCCTATTCTAGCACGCACGAAGCGCTACTGCAAGAGCCCTTTGCCCTACATAGTAAAACTCCTAAATGAGTCAACGTAAACAAGTAATGTATTGCCAAAAAACAGTTACTCAAGCAACTGGATATGATTTTGAAAACGTCAGACGTTTCAGCTAGTACCCACTAGCTTTCGTCAGTGACTGAGAGACCAGAGGGGAAAGCAGGTTTATATACACAACCTGTTGATTGATATGCAAATAAAGTGAAGACAAATTTTTGGAAGTCGAAAAAGGAACAAAAGTCAGACAAGTCAAGACAAGATGATGCAAATTAGTCTGAAAGCTCCTGTATTACAGGACAGGAGCTTAAGTGTTGTCTGTCCTCGGGGCTGGGAGTGCCAAATCCCAAGTGCCGGAAAGATCGACCCGTAGCCCCCCTTCCCTGTTGAGGGTGGGGTTGTACATTCTTTCATATATTGCCTCTTTAACACCCCGTTCCCACCAGCGTGTTTCGCGGTCTAATATACATCCATGGACTCGAGTTTGAAAGAGTGACCCTGGTTGTGTTGTAGGTGGTGGAAAATAGCTGAGGAGTAGCCGTTGGCACTAGGTCGGCAATGTTCTTTGTACCTTACTTTAAGCGGTCGACTTGTCTCTCCGATGTAGGTGTTGTTACAATTGGGCTCCTCACATTTGAGTCTGTAAATAACATAAGCTCCTGTCCTGTAATACAGGAGCTTTCAGACTAATTTGCATCATCTTGTCTTGACTTGTCTGACTTTTGTTCCTTTTTCGACTTCCAAAAATTTGTCTTCACTTTATTTGCATATCAATCAACAGGTTGTGTATATAAACCTGCTTTCCCCTCTGGTCTCTCAGTCACTGACGAAAGCTAGTGGATACTAGCTGAAACGTCTGACGTTTTCAAAATCATATCCAGTTGCTTGAGTAACTGTTTTTTGGCATATCGTATTACCTGGATGTCAAACCTTCATCGAAGTAATGTATTGTCTTTTATCATGTATATATGTAGAGATCATGTAAATACGTGGAGATCGCACTTCAATTTTATGTGTAAATTCTGAGCTTGAAGGATATTTAAAGTTGTATTTTAAAGTTGTTAAGGTGGACACTGATGTAAAGAAACATGCAATTCAGCCTCCGGGCTGCAAAATGTTTTTAATCAATAAACCAGTCATCATCATCATCAAACCTACCTTTCGCGGCGGCGCCCATGAGCGTGGTGGCGACCGTACTGACCAGGCCGATCAGCGTGTTCCTCAACATGATGAAGAACACCGGAGCGCCCTCCGAGGGGACCTTCTTCGTCTTTGTTGCAGTCATCTTGTTCTGTATGTATACATGTAACGTTATACATAAAGGCGAAACGGCTACAGTAGATGAAACATATGAGAGTCGGACATCAACTTGCAGCAGCTGAGTATCGGATTTATCTATATAGAAGGCTGCATGCACTGAGGCAAGCAGAATTTGTTCATAAGGCCACAGCAAGTAATTTTTATGGATGACATCAGCGCGCGCATTAATTTTCGCCTGATTTTTGAAAGGATAACTGAAGAGAGAAGACAAGAAAAGGTTCTGATTTAATGTTTTGTTTCTTACTTTGGTGCAGCGATATGTGATGCTGGCTGTGTATTTGTTATGTTCCCACTGGATTCAACCATTTGTACAATGATTGAGCCAAAATGTTAAAATGTAGGAACCTTGTTTTTTTCGGCCTGCCTTGTTTGTTTTCGCCCGCTCGCGTTAGATTTGGAGTCTGCAGAGGATGTCATCCATAAAATTTACATGCTGTGGCCATATATACAGGCACTCATGGATACGACCGATTGAACAGCCCCCAACCGACCCATGGCCACACGTCCATACGGACGATGACCTTCCATCATGCATATTAAACAGCAGGGTTATAGTCCCTGGTTCTATAGCGCAGGCTGTCTCCGCGCAGAACTCAGAAACGGCTTAGTGTATGACCACGACATTTTCACAAGACGGTGTACAGTAATAATAAATGAGAACAATAATTTTGGTATGATTATGGCGTAATATGACTAAAACCACTGTTTATTCTTAATAGAACCCAAGTCGTATACAACAAAAAAGTGTGCAAGATAAAAGGTTAAGGTCGGCTATTATAGACTTATGTTACCCATAGCAACAACACTGGTGGTTCTAGCGCATGACGCCCAGACATTGTCCTTGCACTTTAGCCCCCCTAAAGTCTAGATGTTTGTTAAAGCAATGAGGTCATCATCATCACCATCAAAGCAATGATGTTATATGGTTAAAGTAATTTGCAGCGACGTTTTCTTTTGCCTTTGTAGTCAAAATATACGGCTCGATTTGGCAGTCTAAATTCTAACAAAATTTGGAGGAAGGACGCACGCAAGATACCAGCATACACCTACATACATCCACTGTCAAATTCCTCCTACACGACGTGCTTCACCGCCATACACGCATGCAGGCACGTACATAACGTTACACACGCACAGGGGGGGTTTGGTTACTCAATAGAATCGTTTTACATAATTAAATAACCACATAACATCTGCATGCCCTCGTAAGACGTAATCAGGCCTTTTTAGACTTCGTAATCCGTAGGCAGCCTCCCCAAAAATCAACGTAATTTGTAATCAGTACATTAGCCAAAAGCGTACAGTCGTAATCAGCTCTGAAAATTTAATGTAATTCCTAAATGGGAGTCGAAAATTTTGCGTAATTCGTAATTACAAATTTAAAAAATGTGACCTTTATGTGAATTTCATGGGAAAAACTTGCAAAAATATAACATAATGAGATTATAGTGGAAAATATTGTAATATATTGAATACCAAAATCATAACCTAACGTGACCTTGAAAAAACATTTGATTGACAAGTTTGTAAACTGATCGGTTGCACAACCATTGAACAGAATTTAGTACTCAGGATGCGGCCTCCAAACAGATGCTGTGAGTTTTCTCCATGATATCGAAGGAGAAATTTCTCTATAATGAATAAAACAAAAGGATGTTTCCTAGTCAGGACAATATGTAGTTGGAAGTGGACAGGAGCCGACAAACACCATCCTTATTATTTGGTCTACGAATCTAAAAATAAAAACAACCTCAGAATGTTCTTGGTCTCAGCCAATCTAAATCTACCGCTATATGGCATTTCATCCTTAATTCTGCATCTGGCGTCCTTATATCAACATGATATAAATCTGACAATATTAGTTGTTTCGGGGCATAACATGTAGTGTGGCTATTCTACAAGAGACATAACGTTACATGTATCGGGATGGTATTCCACGTAACGTTACTCAATATAAAACACAGACTCGCTAATGTTAAATATTATCCCCTTCCTGCTTGCAACACCTTTATAAAGTAGCATATAAGCTCTGCTAGCCAACCTAACGTAACCTTGACGTTACACATGACAAAAGTGACTGTGTTAACGGTTAAGCTACAGTTCTAACTCTCGCGCGTAGGTCGCTGGTTTGCTGGTCTAATTCTTTATGTCCTTTATTGTTATGATAATAAAGCTATATGGCCCTATATCTAGATCGAGACAGTGAAAGAAAAGGATAACAGTTGTTATATACATATAACACAGATCTCTGAGACGGCCGGTTGCATCGGAACAAAGTAAGCCTACCTACCACAAAGAGGAGTCTAACCGGTCCTGGCCATCACAAAAAGATCGAGGTCATATGATGCTGTTAAATGTTGCCACTCCGAAACAGTAGAATCGAGAAAACACCCAGATGCGTATCCGATGACCTACTTAGACCTGACCAGCCTAGCCGGTCCCGTGTAGCCGGTGCGGTTTGGTGAGCAGGTTACTGTACTACAGTAGAGAAGACGGGCAGTGTTACTCACCTTTCCCCCTCACGGTCCCCTGTACTGTACGTCCTGCCGTCCTGAGCTCCTGTCCAAATGGCACCAGCGGCCCGGGGCAGTCCGGTTTGTTGTGTGTTCCTGACGTCACTGACTCCGGCCAGCTGATAACACGGCACGGCGAGGCGAGGCGTGCCAAATGGAGCGGAAGCCAGGGGCTCGTGGAGGGGTTTTTCTAACTCCGTAAATGGGAATTTTCAACCTGTCGTCAAGGTAACAGGACAAAGACTGGTGGTGAAATAGAATAGCTTGTCTTTTATATTCTCTCATCGTTCATTATCAGAGTGATACCCGTAGAGCAGCGTGTCAAACGAATGGTCAAGGAGGTTGATAATTTTTTACTGGGCTAAATACATGTCACATGTTGACTGCCATATACATAAGCGTGTATACATAAACTTCTATTAAACTAGTACATTCGACTTATGCGCTTCAGTTGCTTACTAGTATGGGCTATAGCAACGACTTGCATTTTGATTTTTCACCATCAACGTTACTTCCATTCAGGGTCACAAACGTTCAATTCTCGTTAATAATATCTAAAAAGTCTGTAAATTGAGAAACTCTTACTTGTCACATGGCATCTTACGGACAGTGGTCATGTGAAAATCGGCCTATACTAATCTCCAAGCAGATCATACGGTGGCAATGTAGTATCCATTGGCCAGAGAAGTCACTATGAACTGTCCATTTGCCAGAATGACTCTTCTAGCCATGTCGATTCTACAATAAATTAAAAATTCAAATTAGAAGAATGGTTCGCATTGAAATATCTTCCCCTGTGAACAATTAATCTTATCACGGAATAATATATAATAATATATACATGTACTAATATATTATTCATCACGAAAAACCCTTTGGGCCTCTTGAGTCACATGCCACACCTACATACCAGAGTTATCGCAGTGGACTGTAGACTTTGATGTTTGGAAGTATTAATGGATGACAGTTTGTTTGCTGGCTCAGCGTCCTTACCACAATCCAGGATGTCGACCTTTGACTGAATTTGCCTTCCGTCGTAGGGCGGGAAACTCAAGAAAGACTTTGGCAATACAGGGTCCGCCCGTACACAGCCCGGTACCTCCGCCAGTCAGCCCGTACCTCCACCAGTACACAGCCCGTACCTCCGCCAGTACACAGCCCGGTACCTCCGCCAGTACACATCCCGGTACCTCCACCAGTACACAGCCCGGTACCTCCACCAGTACACATCCCGGTACCTCCGCCAGTACACATCCCGGTACCTCCACCAGTACACAGCCCGGTACCTCCGCCAGTACACAGCCCGGTACCTCCGCCAGTACACAGCCCGGTACCTCCACCAGTACACAGCAAAGCTGTTTGTTGACCTCTGTCAGAGGGCAACAAAATTTATTGTTTTTTTTTCCCAAAATCAAAGCGCGCTGTCCATAAAAGTCATCCATAAAAATTACTTACCTCCTAAGATATTATGGGCTGCGCGAATCCATCCCCACGAGTTGGAAAATGACCTTGAAAGAGCCTGACAGTATGTAATAGTAACGAACAAACACGGGAAATAGACATACAGAAAGTAACAAACAAAATCTTGTATAAGAAATATGTAGCAAGACTGTATGTCCCTCCAACAAATGTACATAATTTAGAAGAGATCTTTCAAGGGGATGTAAGTCCTCGACTTTTCTTCGCCCCAAGTCGACTAGTTGAGACGAAACTGCAAAACTTTATGTTTAAGATATTACATAACTTCTTGCCAACAAAAATGTGGTTGCATAAAAGGAAAATAGGCGAATCAGGATTATGCCAACATTGTAATACAGAACAAACTATAATGCACCTGCTTTATCAATGCAAGTACGCACAACGAATTTGGGTTGAATTTTTTAAGTGGTGGAAAATTGTGGTAGGAAAAGACGTTAAGTTAGACCCACACGAAATAGTGTATGGTAATGTCGATATGTCTAACAAACTGTACTTCTGTGTTACTGATATCAAGTTTTATTTATATAAGATGTACATTAAGGATTTACTTCATTTTACTAGCTTCGAAGAGTGTAAGACTAGATTTAAAGCAATTCATTTCTGATTTTATGATGATTGTAAATATGGGGGGTAACTGATGGTGTGGGCGTCTCAGGTTTTTTTAATATGCTAACGCTGGTCATGTATGTATAGTATTTGTATTTCTATATTGTAAACTTTTGTATGTGTCACACTGTATGTAATGTTTTCTGTATTTTTGTCAATAAAGTTTTTGTCCCAAAAAAATTGCTACGTTGCATCAAGAAGGTGAAATCCATTTTTAAATGTTGCATTTTATTGTTTCAACTGTCATGGTGACACAGAAGCCCCGAAAATGTACATTTTAGCTAAAAATAGTAGATTTTAAAAATACGCCAGAAAATTGCTCCTGGGCAGAAATTGAAATGGCTCCATATCCAGATTTGCTTACAATACATGCATGTAAGTAACGTTACATGTGTGCCGAATTTGGCGCTTTTGCCAGTTTTAGACAAAACTCAGCAGGACAAATTGACAAAAGAAGAAAGAAAGTTTATTCCAAACATATGCCCTAGGGCTACTTGCAGTTACAAACAACATAAGAAAGAAAATACAGTGGTATGTGAGTCTATATCTACGTCCGTAACATTATACTATATTCTACAACTGGACTTATACTACTCTGGACTCCAGAGGCAAAAAGGAGGATTGGGCGTCCAATCACAACACTTAAAGGTCTTATCCAGTCTGACACTGGTCTACAAGGATTGGAACTTTTGTCTGCTATGAAAGACAGAAAGTACTGGCGACAAAACTTCACGCGCTACACCTCAGAAGAGGATGAGTAAAGAAGAAGAAGAATATTCTACAACATACATGGTACAAGCTATAGTTTTACTGGGTTTGACTTCTTCTTTTTAGGCAATTTACCCACTTCTTCTATAATGTATATGGGTTCTTTGATTTTAGTAGTAAAATTGTTTTTTCGTGGTGGGGAATGGTGGGGAAGTAAGGGAGCATTTTGGACACGGTGGTAAATAACTGTTTTCTGATGTCATAAAATTGACAATTAGAGATGAAATGAATTTCGTCTTCCACTGCATTTGAGGAGCAATATTTACACATTCTCTCCGACACAAGTAGTTTCATATATCGCCCTTTTTCGATTTCCAAGGAGTGGGCACTGATTCTAATTTTACTGATAGCGGAGCGCTGATCGAATTCGAAGTCATGGCAGGAACCCTCCAAGCAGAGGTTTGGGCTTTGGCTTGTGTTTTGGCGTGTTGTTTTGGCTTTTTTATGTTTAACGTTACAGAAGGAAAACTAACGTTAATTGTTTTTGCTAGTGGCCATATGCGAGGGTAACGTTAACGTTAGACATCAACGTTATGCATTTGTTACTTTTCTAGTTTCTTTATCATTTTTTCTTGGTATCTTTTGTGATGGCCTACCTCTGCTTGGAGAGAGGGCCTGAGCAGTGGGCGGGAAATTTGAAACACAAACAGTACGCATGCGTAGTAGTACGGACGGGATGTCCAAGATGGCAACGGTGGACCCGTCCACAACAACAAGTTCTCATCACCACGAGACCGGGTCCTCTCACACAGGCACAGAACCCTGCTGCGGCGCCGTGCAGTGTAAGGATGGCAAAGTGGAGCCCGTGGACATCTTTTATGCCGCCAAACTTGGGTATGTATTGTTGTTTTTTTTAGAAGACGAGAGGACTATCTGGGGTGGGAGGGGGGCGACGTATGAGGTGTGTCCAGCAGCCGGACATAAAAATTATACAGAGAATGAAGAGCACATAAAGTTGAGAGACAGCCCATGAGAAAGCAGAAGGTAAAGCACATCATAACCATAAATTATGCCACCCTGACGAGCGGTGAATTTAATACAGTAAACAACGAAGAAGAACAAGAAGAAAATTCCATAATTTTCTTGTTTGCATTTGCTATAAAGAATCCCCCCCTCAGTAATAACGTAGGGATTGTTCGAGGGTAACTATTTGACGAAGAAGAGGAAGAATGATAATTTCTTGTAAGCCTTTGGTTGACGAAGTTCTATGGATTATGAGGTCTTTCCTGTTGACAGAACACATGTTCTGTTTGCAGAATTATACTGATGTCACCTTCCTATAGGCTATACATGTTGATCAGTAACGTTATGTCATTAAGTTTTTATCACACCAGTAGTACAGGGCTCAAAATCCTTTATTTTAGGTTACAGGCACAATAATCGCATGTTGGCAGAAAACTTACATGCACTTTAAAAAAGCAGCTTAGCTACATGCAAAATTTTAAACTGTATAGTGGCACCATTAGCTAGTCTGAAGGGAACACTGTCCGATATATTCAACATGCAAAATTGTATGTTCAGTGTCATGCAAATCTTGAAAATTATATGAAAATTGCACGTGGGTATTTCGAGCCGTGCACTATATGTAAGGTATATGTATGTAGCATATTTAAACGTTATTGAATCAGTACTATTATTAATTGTACTCTCTATAGCAATCATGAATGAAATAAACTTCAAATTGTACCCTAACTTTCACATATACAGATGAAAAGAAAACTACTTGTCTCTCTCTTAACATCCGAAAACTGACACACGCCAAACCCAACTACTTTGATTTAGGAGTTATGGTAGTTTTTATTTTTTGTGTCTACTTACGTATTACTTGTACGTACGAAATGTTCCTTTTTTTAATTGCAATTAGCCCCCAGGCATGAGTTTGGAATAAACAATTATTATTGACCTTTCTTCCAGTATGCTCATCCCTTGTCAAGAGTTTATTGAACACCTCGGCACAGCAGTGTTACACACCTGTGATGAGAAGGGCCACACCCCCCTCCACTGGGCGGCTCTGGGGGGGCACACCGCCGTCGTACGCTACTTTATCGACTGTAAGGCCCCCCTGGACAAACCCAGCGAGAACAAGCTGGGACCTCGCCCCATCCACTGGGCATGTGTGCGCGGCCATGTGGGGATTGTGGACCTGTTGTTACAGCATGGTGTGCCCATAGACACCCCGGACAGTAAGGGCTGTACACCACTCATTATCGCTTGTCAGTATGGACAGACGGTAGTAGCCGCATACTTAATGAGCAAGGGTGCACGGTTACAGATGCTGGACCATGAAGGAGACAACGCTCTTCACTGGGCTTGTTTTAAAGGTAATCTCTTTATTTCCTACTCAGGGCTAGATCTAGAAATACTGGGTGCATATTACCTTAGTACGGGTAGAATACGGGCTGTGCAGGTATTTCTGATGTCTACCTGCACCTAACCTGCACTGGTCCATGTACTGGGTATATGCAGGTTAGTGCAGGTAAAATTGGAGCTGTGCAGGTATTTCTGATGTCTACCTGCACCTAACCTGCACTGGTCCATGTACTGGGTAGTATATGCAGGTTAGTGCAGGTGAAATTGGAGCTGTGCAGGTATTTCTGATGTCTACCTGCACCTAACCTGCACTGGTCCATGTACTGGATATGCAGGTTAGTGCACGTGAAATTGGAACTGTGCAGGTATTTCTGATGTCTACCTGCACCTAACCTGCACTGGTCCATGTACTGGATATGCAGGTTAGTGCAGGTGAAATTGGAGCTGTGCAGGTATTTCTGATGTCTATCTGAACATATTGCCTGCCCTGCAGTCTGGTCCATGTACTGGGTTTATATTTGCATATGTACAGTACATGTACAGTAGGTATATGGTGATGATTCTTTGAGCATGATCCATATGTCTCAAAGTCTGGTAAAGGTACATGTAAAGGTAAATAAAATTTGTCAGTGTTACAATACAAGCACATTGACATCATGTATATATATGTAGAAGAACTTTATTGCACGACAATTGCACTTGGTACAATGTATGGCAAACTACAGAGAGTAACAACAATAAAATAAGTGTGTGTTGAATAAGATCTAATGTCGAATAAAACCTAACATATCTATATCATAATTATTCAAATAATAAGGGATAGCACGAGTCTTTGATAAAGTGTTACAATCGAGTGGGCTAATCACAAGTTTCAGTAGCATTCCTTTATATATCCACCTATTTTTGCGTTGTGGGGACCATTACAATATTGTAAAGATATATTCAAATCTGTCTCCCACATCGAGACTCTTGAAATCTATGGTACTTGATTCGAGAAATGTAAATAGCTTGTTACGTATAACATCATATTTGGTACATTCCATAACAAAATGAAATTCATTTTCTACATGTATGTGTGCTCTCTGTGCTACAGTGCAGTAAGTGTGTCACATTCTGTATGTCACAGGCCAGGCTGAACTTGTCCGACTGCTGATCTTCTCAGGATTCAACCCCAGACAGAGAGACAACTATGGACAGACTCCGCTCCACCTCGCATGTATCAACGGAAACCTCAATATTGTCAAAGAACTGGTGGAGGAGGTAGGGTTGATATAACAACAGTGACAGGTTTAGGCCACATCAATTAATTGATTTCTTGCTTTTTATATTCACCCTTTTCATCACCTCCAATGCAAGAAATGTGTGTGTGTACAAGTTTGTGAGTGTATGTGTGTGTGTGTGTGTATGTGTCTGCAAGTTTGTGTTTGTATGTGTGAGTGTGTGTGTGTGTTGTTGGGTGTGAGTGTGTCTGTGTTTGTGTGTGTTATCTGTGAGTGTGTCTGTATGTGTGCGTGTGAGCCTTTGTGTGTGTGTGTGTATGTAATACTATTGTGACTGTGAGTGTGTGTGAGTGAGCTTTGAGTGTGTGCAATACTATTGTGTGAGAGAGAGAGAGAGAGAGAGAGAGAGAGAGAGAGAGAGTGTGTGTGTGTGTGAGAGTGTGTTTGTGTGTGTGTGAGAGTTTGTTAGAGTGTGTGTTGTGTGTGCCTGTGATTGTATGTGTGTGTCTGTGTTTGAGTGTGTGTGTGTGTGTGTGTGAGAGCGTGTGTTGTGTGTGCCTGTGATTGTATGTGTGTGTCTGTGTTTGAGTGTGTGTGTGTATGTATGTGAGAGTGTGTGTTGTGTGTGCCTGTGATTGTATGTGTGTGTCTGTGTTTGAGTGTGTTTGTCTGAAGATGATAGAATTGTTCCCCTTTGTGTTTTTGAGGATGATGTAGAGATAGATCTGGAGGACAAGAATGGTAAGACTCCACTGATGCTGGCAGTGGGCAGGAAGCACCACAGCATAGAGTCTTACCTGACGACCAGGCTGGAGAGAAAGAGGACCATACTTGGGGCCATGCCAAAATTTGACTGGCAGTAAGTCTATCATTGTTTATCATACAGAACTTGCAGAAATTAGAACTCATCTGCAATTCATAATTAATATTACATCGACCAGTACATGTACTATCAGAGTTCTAGCCAGGCCTTTTTAGAATAGGGGCCCCTATGCTATAATTTTGACCTCCTACATGTATGCTGTCTTTCAACCAGCATAGGATAGGGGTATTTTGGGAGGGAGAACCTTCATAAATCTTGCAAAAAATGAAAATATAACTTTAGAATGAAGCTACAGCAAAGGGAAAACCTTAACTTAACAAAATCTTTTCCTCATAAACAAGAAATAGTGTCTCAGGGTTATGAGTTTCAAAATATTCTGGTTCAATGCTTGATTTGCACCATGAAAGTTGTTCTTCTGACCCCTATGCTATGAAAAACTCCTGGCTAGCACCCTGACTATGCTTAGGGAGATTTTAGTTACGTTTATGTTTGAATAATTTTAGATTCATAGCTGTTTCAATTTCTATTCTACTGTGTTCCACTCACAGTACTACATGTAGTATGTAAATTTGTACAATTCACCCATCTGGTTGCAATGTGCTTCTTCGTGCAATAAACTGAAATGTGCAATCTACAAGTAAAAAAATTGGAATTTTTGCAGTTCAAGGCTGATTGCTTTTCATAATGTGTCAAGAAACCAGTCTCAGTAATTAATACAGTATCACTTTGCTAAGGTCTAGGAAAAAATGTTGTTTCCCGTTTCCCGACTGACCCTAGGAAAAACTGCCGACCCTAGCCTTTTTTTTGGTGAACGCCTGCAAGGAACATTTATGTTTTAAACTGATTACTACCGGTAATAACTTTTTCTAGCTCCATGATATGACAACTGAGTGATAAAACATTGTACAATCAGTTTTCCAACATTGACAATGAAAATATAAGTGTGCTCATGCAAGTTTACCTTGTAATGTTAAACTATATTGTTTAATTTGGAACACTGGACATTGCCAAAGTCTAATTAAAGAAAGATAATCCCTACCTACTAACCCTAATTTTTTCAGCTCAGAAACAGGAAACACATCTTTTTTTCCAAGGCCTAAGGCCACACCAATTTAATTTCTTGGTTAATGGATTCACCGCTTCATTTTTTTCTGATTTGCAAATAAAAATAAAAATTCAGAATCAACTGCAAGATGCTCCTATTTTGCCCTGAACAGTTGAAAACAGTCCTTTTCATCCTAGCTGTTACAGTTATTCCATCATTCAATGCAGTGGTATCATTAAAAGTTCTAAATTCATTGTTTAAATTTTGAACAAGCCTGGTGTGTTGACTTCATGGCTCCTATCGTACCATTTTGGGCTATAATAGGATGCCTAGGCCTGTTTTATTTTTCTTTTTTTTTCCCCGTCCGCTCCATTATTTTTCTAGAAAAATCCGTAAACCAAGAAATTAAATTGGTGTGGCCTAAAGTAAACTCTTCCTCTTCCCGCTACAGGACACTGCTGTTTGGTCCTCCAGGCAACAGTAAGGGAGCTTTACTCTTCTTCATCTGTAGTGTACTGTTCTGGGGATATCCCATGTACATATTCAAGGTAAGAAATTAACAGCATACTTGAAATACTTTTATTTCAGACAGATATTTGTCCTGCCGTGCCCATATATACATGTACATATATGTAAGTACAGATTGTACATTGCACCTCTGTGTGTTCTGTGTATGTACGGGTTGGGGTATTTCTCACATGAATGCTACTCTCCAAGCAGAGGTTTGGGTTTGGGGGTATTTTTAGCGTGTTTTTAGGCTTTTTTATCGGGGTTTCTCTTTTGCATTGAATTTTTTTTCCCACCAAACCCAACCTCTGCCGGCAGTCGAAAGCTTCAATCCATGGGCTATAAACCTAATCACTTCAACACATTTCAGTCGTTCTGCAAGGAGGTGTGAACCAGACGCATGAATAGGCACAGTCAGCAGGAGGCGTGTGGCCAAATGAATGCCTTTCTGACTGGCTAGATGTGTGATAATCCACCACAGTAAAATAGTTATCCCTAATGATAATTTGATGGTTCCCGGGGAGGAGCACTGTCACTTTCTTGAATAGGTTTGCCCTGCCCCGGGGTGAGTGCCGGCAGAGGTTGGGTTTGGTGGGGAAAAAAAATTCAGTGTAAAAGAGAAACCCCGATAAAAAAGCCTAAAAACACGCTAAAAATACCCCCAAAACCCAAACCTCTTCATGGAGAGTACATGAATGCAGCATACCACAGCAAAACTCACTTCTGATTAGGAAGTAACCATGCCACAGTAGTACAGAAGAAGTTCAGGGTCAAAAACATTGCATAAAAATGCCAGCAGGACAATGGGTAAAATTAAGAGTGTTGAGCACTTTTGTTTATTTGTTTATTTTGATTTTTCACAAAGTGAAAGGGAGGGCAAAACAGGTGCATACGCACCTTTACAAGTTGCCCTCCCTCATACAAAACACATATACAACGTTAACATCATATACAACATGTTGATTATTTCAGTCAGTCAATATTTCAATTATTGCTGTGTAAGATTATGAGTAAGATTATTAATAAGTATCATTGTAAATGCCTTTATTTCTGTGTGTTAGTTCATGAGAGTTTCATAATCATAACTTATAGTAGGAATGTGTGAATATTGTATATAAATTCTTCCAATTTGAATGCAATTTCTGTATGTTCTGCCAGAGGAAGTTCTTAGGCCACACTAATTTAATTTCTTGGTTAACGGATTTTTCTAGAAAAATAATGGAGCGGGCGGGCGAAAAAATAAAAAATAAAAACAGGCCTAGGCATCCTATTATGGCCCAAAATGGTATGATAGGAGCCATGAAGTCAACCCACCAGGCTGGTTCAAAATTTAAACAATGAATTTTAACTTTTAATGATACTATTGCATTGAAAGATGGAATAACTGTAACAACGAAATGAAAAGGAATGTTTTCAACTGTTCAGGGCAAAATATGAGCATTTTGCAGTTGATTCTGAATTTTTCTTTTTATTTGCAAATCAGAAAAAAAAATGAAGCGGGTGAATCCGTTAACCAAGAAATTAAATTGTTGTGGCCTTACTGTACAGATGTAAATTTGGCATTCTGTTCTGTCCCAGGTCATCCCCTACACACTACAAGACATGCAGGCTCTACATCTGCTGTTTTTCTTGGACAACTGTCTGATGTGGTATTTCCTGTACCAGGCTTCCACGACTGAGCCTGGCTACCTTCCCAGGGATACACAAGAGTACCACAACTCCATCAGACAGGTGACTACAAAATGTGCACTACTGACATCATCTGTATTCTTATTATGCAGGGCTCGAAATTCATTTTTGAGAATAGGTGCACTGGTTCACCCAACCTAAAAAATTAGGTGTACCAAAAATGTTTTGGGTGCACCATTATAGAACAAAACCTGATTTACAGATCTTACTGCTCCTTTTCTGAGCTTGAATCTGAAAACGGAGCTAACTTCAAAATCTTAAACAAGTCTTTACTATATAGTATAAGAAAGATTTTATTATTTTTCTGACACTTAGATGCCAACGAGGATATCCTGCATATTATCATTCATATGATATGTAAAAAAACTAGTTAGGTGCACTGGTGCACTCTGACACCTCTTTCTTGTAAAGAAACAAAAGTTGAGCAAATTTTATTTTGAGTATCAATCATTTCAAATTTCAAATTCTCCCCTTATGCATTTTACTCCTTACAGGTAGCCCCTCCCTCCCATACTCTACAAACTGCCGTATCTTAGATATTGTGTTTTACCTCATTTCACTCTCTGGAAGGTTTTATTAATCACATTAACATTATAGGTTCTATTGGTGCGCCAGCCATTTTCATCTTATGTTCACTGAACATTTTGTGTTAATTTTGTTACCCCAACCTTGTAATTATGTTCTTTATGTTTTAAGATCAAAGCATCCTAATGAGCACATTATGTGCTTTCTGTCCAATGCTCATGACTCTTTGCAGTGTTCGAAATACCTGTCTGCAGTCTGCAATCTGCAGATAGATTTTCAAGATTGCAGAAGAAAAATTTATACAATTGTAAAAACCGAAAGGGGCGAGCAGGTCACAACCGGGAATCGAACCCGAGTTGTCCGCTTGGCGGTCACCAATGCTAACCACTACACTAAAAGGTCGCACGACCATTTAGCATGGTCAGTTAGCACTGTTACACTACTCCCCCTTTTCTTTCAAGATTCGTCCTCGAAGCTTCCGAGTCCGACATCCCTTGAGCTGCCACACTTATCCTCAGTGCCAGTACTCACAGGGCCGGCATGGGAACCACTGTAAAAACCGAAAGGGGCGAGCAGGTCACAACCGAGAATCGAACCCGAGTTGTCCGCTTGGCGGTCACCAACGCTAACCACTACACTAAAAGGTCGCACGACCATTTAGCATGGTCAGTTAGCACTGTTACACAATCTGCAATTTTGCAGAAGGAAAAATAGGCTCCAGATTCAATAGTTTTCAATTTAGGAAACTAGAAACTCTCTGGCCCCAAGGATAGGAGCTTCTTCACTACTTTGCATCATCCTTGTCTTGACTTGTCTATCTTTTGTTTCCCTTTGGACTTCAAAAAAATTATCTTTGAGAACATTATTGGTTTGAGAAGGTTGTAGTATGGAGGTTTGTGTATTTGCAGAAAGTATTTTCAAATTGCAGAACAAAATTTTGACTCTTCTGCAATATTGCAGAGCACTGAAAAAAAGTATTTTGACCACTGCTATGTGAATAAAATAAATTGTTTCCTTCCCTTCTATACCAGGCTGCCCATTTTGACGGGTGGCAGGCAGGAGCCAACCCTCTCAGTCGTCTGTGCCACACGTGTCGCCTGGTCAAGCCTCTCCGCAGTAAACACTGCCGCGTCTGTAACCGCTGTGTGGACTGCTTCGACCACCACTGCCCCTACATCTACAACTGTGTGGGCTTCAGGAATAGGTGAATATGTGCTGCCCTTTCTTTCAGAGTAAAACACTCTTGATCAAACAGCATTATTGATAATTCTGATGTACTGAAAATATATTGCTGCAGGATTTACAGGTCAGGTTTGCAAAAGAACATGTAATTGGCAATTTTTGTTGTAATTCAAACATCAATGTGAAAGGTAATTCATAATTGAATGGTTTTACAGGTATCTTTGTTGAACATTTTGGCTTCTTTTGGAAAATGTTGTTCTGCTGGCATTGTAATCAATGGTAGGACATAATGGTGTCTGGTCCAGCTAATTATAATCTGTGTGACAACATGGTAAAGTCAGTTTCCTCTTGGAGTATTGTGGTCAGTTGATTTTTTGTGTTCGCAGTTAAAACACAGGGTTCCCTTCGTTAAATCGGCATGTCATTTTATACGTCGTCTGCAGGCATGCCCGTGATGATGCACATATGTTTATTTTTACCGTGGCTGTTTTCGTGGTCAATGTAACATAAAAAGTTTGTTCTTTTTTAAAAATTATGACTACTAGTATATCTTTAATATGGACACCTGCAGAGGTCAACTGAAGTGCAGCCGGCTCACCCTGGAGTTGCATAATGCAGTGCATTTAACCACCAACAGGAAAATCTTCACAATCCAAATCTTACAGTCTAAAAACGGATACATTTCTATATCGCAAAGACTAGTTTACTCCTGGCTACCTCTCACATAAGTCGTTCTACTGGTAGTCAGGATTTGAGAGTTTTGTCCACATTACTTTCCATACCCGCGTCATAGACTCTGGGGGTCACCCATTAATACTGTGTTCTGCGATCTTGTGTCATGCACCCTGCCACCTTTTTTACCTGAAAAATGGAGGTACATGTATTGTTTTTGGCGCGTCTGTGTGTGTGTGTGTGTGTGTGTGTGTGTGTGTGTGTGTGTGTGTGTGTGTGTGTGTGTGTGTGTGTGTTTCCGCACATTTGTAGTCAGCATAACTTCAGAACGTCTTTATGGATTGTGATGATATTTGGTATGCTGGTAGGTCTTAGGAAGCCAAAGGTCAAGGTCAAATATGGGCCTCCTGGTGGCTGACCTTGGTACTGCAGCAGAACTTCCGCGAAAACAGATGTGCGGGGTGGCAGGGAAAACAGATGTGCGGGGTGGCAGGGAAAACAGATGTGCGGGGTGGCAGGGAAAACAGATGTGCGGGATGGAGGCAGCGCCTGTCCAGGTTGATTAATGAGTTTCTCCCTCAGGAAAAGCCTACATGACCATATCCAGGCCAAAGGTGCTACTGTGTGTTTGAAACCAAAAACCTGTGTTATTTTGTTCTGTACTGTACTGTACTGTAGTGTACTGTGTAAAAACATTTAGAAAAACTCATATATTTCATGGGGGTATATGAGGTCACCGAATTCTTGTTCAAGACTTGGGTTTGATTAACCTTTTCTCCTGATGTTCCTCCTGTCCCAGAGGGCCTTTCCTGTGCTTCGTCACATCCACACTGACAGCCATGTGGATCGCCCTCTACCTTGTCTGGACGGTACTGCATGTAAAGGGTTGGGACATCCTTGTGCTGGTTGGATTTCTGGAGATGGTGTTTTTCAGCCTTATTGCCTTAGCTGTCTCTTGTATGGCTGTAAGTATGACATTGTTCTCTCATTCTTTGATAGGCCACACTGACTTAATTTTATGACATCCTCTGAAGACCTCCAAACTAGTGCACTAAATTCCAGCCAAAAAATGATGCTAAACCACATGGATATAAAGCTGGTATTGTGAATTTGTGCTAGTATATTATGACCTTTACGACAAGCTGGCACAGGCTGGCCTTTGCTGCATTTATGAGTAGGCATCGTACTGATCGAGTTCTTGAGTTCCGTGGAGCTTCAGCAGCCTGGGTGCCATCCTCTGTAGTTACCACCGGCTCCCTATTGTTGCTAGCTACCATGGACTACAGAGGATGGCATCCAGGTCAGAGCCTTGGAGGAGGTGATTTCTTTTTAGAACAGGTGAAAATCTATGTGTGTGCGGATTAAATCATTGTGGCCTTCCAGTTCTCTGAAAATGGTACATGTAGCCCAAATGCTTGATAGGAGCCATGAAGTTAACATACTGGGCTGGTTTGTAATTCAAACAACAAATTTCAAACTTTAATTGATCAAACCACTTCATTGGTAGATGGAGAACTGTAACTGAAAAGAAGGGACTTCCTCCAACTGTTGGGCCCAAAATATGAGCATTTTGGAGTTGACTCAAAGGCTGAAATGTTTTTTTTTTTGCAAATCAGAAAAAATGAAGTGGGCAGATCTGTGGAACAACAAAATTGAATTAAATTAGTGTGGCCTGATTTAAAGGGAAATTTATGTGGGGTCATGTGGCGCAGTCGGTAGCGCGTTCGGCTCACACCCGAGAGGTTGTGGGTTCGAACCCTGCCCATGTCACCGATCTTGTGCCCTTGGGAAAGGCACTTTACACGACTTTCCTCACTTCACTCAGGTGGAAATGAGTACCTAGCTTCGGCTAGGGACGTCCCTCGGATAGGACGTTAAATGGAGGTCCCGTGTTTGGGAGAGCCACACCCCACGCACGTTAAAGAACCCACCGCACTAATCGAAAAGAGTAGGGGACCTTCCCGGTGTGAGTGGTTCAAGCCTTACAGTCTGGTCTCGGGGTTGACATCTTTGAAGAGGTGATAGTCACCTGTTATGTCAATCCTTCCACAAATGTGGTAAATCTTCATAAAAATAAAAATAAGAATAAAAAAAAAATAAATGTGGTGTACTGAAAGGAAGGTTACGTGTAAATTCTCACTAACTCACATACGGTACACTGTCAGAAACATCTAAAGTGTTTACAGTTGAATTTTACATTTTTTTAGCCACCACTGACCTTGACTATTATAAAGACTTTGATGTTAGGTCAGCCATATGTAAGCTTAGAGTTAGCACACATACATTAGAAATAGAAAAGGGTAGATACAAACAATTGTCTGTTAACGACAGAATATTTTACAGGAAATGCGGTGGAAAATGAAATGCACTTTATATGTCATTGCCATCATTATAGCACCGAAAGATGGTAACCAAAATGTTTCCTAGCTTTATTCCCCTTCCCAGCCTACAAAAAACTGCATTTCTATCTATATATCTCGGCCATTTCATAGTCCACTGCACACGGAAATCAAACCCAACAATAACTACAAAAGTAGCATTAGCATTACTTATTATCATTTTTACTGTTTATTGTTGTTATCATGTTCTTGCAATTAGCACTCGGGCATGAATTTGCAATAAACTAAAATTATTTCGCCGCACAGTGGTACATGGTTGCCATGAATGTCACCACCAATGAGAGACTGAACATGAAGCGATACGAGTACCTGAAGGACGGCAACGGGCGCTTCTACAACCCCTTCAGGAGGAGCGTGAAGGACAACTGTATGGAGTACTTCCACATGAGGAAACCTCTGACGGAGGGAGAGGTGGAGATCATGAATGCTCGGGTCAACATTGTATAGTACACCTTCAGACTGTGGTCCTGGAATTGTACAGGATAGAACTCTTTATAGTTTAGGCCACACCAATTTAATTTGTTGTTTCTTGGCTTTTTCAGAAAAAATCAGGAGCGACAGGGCGAAAAAAAAAAAGCACCCCATGATAGCCGGAAATGTTACAATATGATTAAAACAATAGATTTTAAACTATAAATGAAACAAAATTGCATTGTTACATTGAAAACCTTACGAACTAGGAAGAAATGGATTTTTTTCAACCATTGGGGCAAAAATATGTCTTTCATTGAGCATTTTGAAAAGAAATTTTTTTTTTTCAAATCAGAAAAAAACGGACAGGGCAATCCCAGAAGCAACAAATCAAATTGGTGTGGCCTTAAAAAACAAATGAGATTAAAAGAACACAGGATCACCCAGTGACTACAAAAATTTGCTCCAGAGAATTATATTCCTCTGGTTTTTTTATGTCTCCCTCATGTCACCTTCTCAGTCTTTGAATTGACAATACATAGCTGACAGCATGCTCCCATTGCCATGATTATAGATGTGTAGAAATCTATTGAAAAGCTGACCCACTAGATTGTGGCCAAGTACATATATATGTGTGCATCTGGAAAACAGCTCCTGATGTCATGTAATTTCAGGGGTAAATGGGAAACAGCTGTTCAAGTTATTGTCCAAATCACAGCCGTGTCCTGATAGATAGATTAGCTACCCTGGATGCCAAACTCGTTCTTCGGGCGGCAAGAGCCTTTCGCCCGCCGGTCTAAATTACTGCTACGGGGGAGTCTAGCCCGGGGGGAGTTTGGCCGCCCTCCAAACGTTGGAAGGCCGATATACTCCTCTGCGGGCGAAGTACCCTGGCTGCCGAAAAAAACGGTTAGCGGCCTGTAAACTTGGCTGGCACCCAGGGTATAGATTAGCCAGAAAATATATTGTTCATACGACACCAAAATATACCATTTTCTTATTGTCTTTAACAACTTATCATGATTACAGATGTAATCAAGATAATAAAGCACTGTTTTCTTCTCAAAAGACTATTTTTCACCAGGTTTAGAACCAGCTGCCATGTTCACTGTCACCAGCGAGATAGCCTAACGTTATATATAACATGTAATTACCTGGCGGCAAGAATAAAGAGCTGGAAGTATTGTTCTTTATGGTTCAATGTTCAATACCATCAGAAAGGTGAATGTGTGGTGGAAATGCTCTTTTAGGTACACTTTTTTGCTGCAGATAATAAAAGAATATTGCATTTTGTTGTCGTATGAATCATCTAATTGTGTCCAAATCATCTGGTGCCATTATCAGCCTTCCAATTGATGAAGTAATTCTTATGTTCTCAGGTGAACATAGTACAATGTAATAATTGTGTGCAGTCAATAATATGTAGCAGCCTGTCATTATATCCCCTTACCTGTGACTTCAAAAGGGTTCGAGTGTTTGCTGTTTGTTCAATCAATGTACTGGTGAATAGTCTATGCAATTTGTTCTTGTGTCATTCTGTTGTTATTTCCTGTTGCCTTTTTTTTTTTATGTTTACCGAAGGAAAGCATTTTGTTTTTGCTCCGTTTCTTCCTCTTCTTCTTTTTCAAACAGTGACCTATGACCTGACCAATGACATGATTTGTTGACGTCTGTGACCATAGTGACTGATGTTGGGTTACATAATGCTGCAATTTCATGGTCTGCTCTGCTCCTGTCACCATATACTAGTAGTACAATGTATTTGAATAAGAATTAACAGACCATGTCCGAAGGTAAACATTATGCATTTGCTTTGCAAATGTTACTTCTCTAGTGTTCAAATTGTTTTTCTAACTCTATGATCAGTAATCTACTAGTAACTCAGTGATCAGTAATATCTCAGTCCCTGAATGAAAGATAGTGAATACTATCTGAACTGTCTGCCTCTTTGTTATGTTGAATTAATCCAGTTGTTTTACTTTGTATTACGTAAAACGTTCTACATTATTGTAAATATGAATAGTATGGTTACAATATTGCATTGAGATTACATTCTGTGATCCAGTAACACACAATCAAATATATCTAATAATTGGCAGCTATGTCTGTTCTTTCAAGTATAATCTTATTTACAAGCATGGAAAATCTCATTGAAATAAATCTGAAAGCATCTTTCAGTAATGCATTTGTAGTTTTGGTTCTACATGTATCTGCAGATCTGTTACTCCAGAATTCCAGATACTTGTTTTTTTTTAGATACATGTACATTGTGTTAGGATGAGAATTTGATTCTGATCGTACAAATTGTTTCTGTTCTTGTTGTGAGGGCTAGCCCTTTATAATAGCCTCCGGCTAGTTGGGCAGTCCTGGCTGTATACATATGTGTTATCAGAGTAATAAATTGCAAATCAAATCAAATCGTACAGAAAGTAATGTTTTGTACTGTACATCAGATTTGGACAATTCCTTACCACATGCAAGGTAACTTGAGAAACAAGTTCCTCTGGCCACTTAAAGTTTAATAGTCTGTGTTATACAATAACTCACTGTAGGGCATAGCCTGGTATCCAGTCTATAGTGGTTAGGGCAGGCTGTCTTTTGGGGCTCTAATATCCTCTAATAGTTTCCCAGCTCAACAGACTTCCTTGTAGGACTTGCACACCAGGAGTTGATCAGCCCCTCCTGTCAGTCTGTAAAACAAACACTGTCCTTACTTTGTGACCAATGGGGGACCAGCTATTTACACATTTTAGGTATAACTACAGGCTTCTGACAGTTCAAGGAGTGACACTGGGTGAAAGAGCAGGCAGGGGACTCATATGTTGCCAATCTTCACATTTTTACTGCAGAAAAACAGAGCCTTAAGATACATGTACATGTATAATAAAAGCATCTTTTCAGTAAGTCACATGAAATTTTATTACTACTTCTACCATGAATTTTCCAGTACTGCAGAAAGAATTTCAGACTGACATGCAACCTTCTGTTGAGGAAATAGTTTTAGTGAAAGGCTAGCCAGCAGCATGTACCATATTTACAAAGAAGCTACATGTACTTTGTACAAATATATGAAGAAAAATCTAACTTAAATAGTTGGTAACAAGTTTGGCATTGATATTTTGTTTGTACAGATATCTATTTTTTTTTATAATGACAACAGAGCAAGTCCAGAACACAATCTTATGCCATAAAGTTGAAGGACTGGTCAACCGTTAAATATACATTAAATTTTGGAACAGCAACATGAAACCTTTGCACTCCCTAAGTACCAGAGAAGAATCAAATCTCACATCATAAAGTGCACACAAAATCAACATTATAGTAATCAATCTGTCCAGAATACTGTCAACAAGAGAATCTACAATTTGTCCAATCCTTGACTATCTGTTTATGACAGCAAAGATTACAAAAGCAGTGATGTAAATGATTTTCTTGAAACTAAGGTGTAAAACTGCAGAGGAAGTCTGGAATGGGTAGAAGAAGTCAAAAGGCAGCTGAGTTTGGATGGTTGGGTACTCGGCCAGGGAGGCTGTGGGAGATGTGGAGGCATCGATGAAGGTAACACTGGACACAACCTCAAACTGCTGGCCAGTCTGTCCTCCCCCCGCCTGGCACAGTGTCCCCACACAGGTGAATGTGATGTCCTGCGGGTTCTCAAATCTCCTTCTCACAGCAAGGATTTTAGGCTGTGGGTTGGACAGTGCTCCAATATTAGAATACAGGACTTCTATGTGCATGCCCAGAACAACATTTCGACAAGTGGTTGTTCTAAAGCCGGTTGTTTGGACTAATGGTTCATTGTCCCCGAGGATTTCTACCCAGTCTCCAACTGCGTCTAGTTGAGAGTTTCCGTACACGGCCACGTGTGTTGGTGGGTTTGTTCCCTGTAAGGCATCAGTGATGGTGTTCTGGAGAAGTGTACAAACGCTTGTGATGTTGTTGAAGTAGACAGTCACCAGACATCCTGATCTCATGTCCTCACCAAACACGACCGGAGTCCTGTCACCCGACGACAGACAGCTGCCATCAGCTGTGCTGGACAGCATGGTCAGCCAGCTGTTCCTATTGCTGCTCACTTCGATGGATCGAACCTGTTCACCAGAAGTGGTTGATGTCGTCTCTACTAGAGTCCCTGCCAGCAAGGGTTCTCCGACTACATAACCAGGATTGCCACTTCTTCTAAAGCCTGCCACAGAATCCTGCTTGTTGAACGTAATTGCAGAAGTCTGTTGCACTGACGTCTGTGTAGAGTGAACTGATCCCAGGGTGAAGGAGACTTCCACGGCAGATATGCCTTGACTTCCATTGTGTGTCACGGTGTAAGCAACACTGAGAACCATATTGTCACAGAAGCCGCTGGTTCTATTGTAGACTGGCCCAGGTACGGAACCTCCAGTAAAACCACAGGTGACAATGTGGCCCTGTCTGTCCTGACAGGTAATGTTTGCCAGCGTGAAGTTCACCAGGTCGGGGTCGTCAAAAAGGTTGGTGGAGTTGTCAGCGGTGGTGTTCCCTGGCTGACTTGTTGAGACAGGAACGGTGACATTGGCTGTTGTCATGACAGCTGTGGTGACAGCAGTGACAGTTACTGTTGTTCCAGTTGTTGTGGGTGGAAGTGTGGATTGGAACAAGGCTGGTGTTCTCGCCACCTTTAACCCAAGATAATATATATTTGCATTCAGCGATGGACTTGTTTCACATTGATCAGCTAGGCTGTCCCACTCACGAGTGCAAGACGTTGTTTCATCCTGTAAAAATCCAGCAACACTACTGTCCAAGCAGTTAGATGTGATGTCTGCTTTGGGCAGCCCCAGTGTGCCCTGGGCACCACTCTCGTTCACAGTGTACACGGGGTCTCCAGACTTGTAGAAGTCCTCATATACAGTAGCTGTACTGTCGACTTGGCTGTATGAAGTTGTTTCATACGTCTGCAGTAGGTTCTGGAAAGCCTGCTCTGTATCTACTACGTCAGCACCTGTGTAGTAATTTCGTGCTGGGTAATTATCGGTGTAAATACAGAACAGGTTGTTGGACTCCAAGTTGGAGACAAACTGGGTGTTCTCAAACACGATGATATGATCCTGGACACAGAGCCGGTCATCCGGTTTGTACAGGTTCTCCAGACACTGGCTGAAGCTCTGCGCGTCCTGGCTGGTGCAGTCAGGGTCGCAACAACAGTTCACATCGCAGGCGCTGCGCGTCAGGTCACAGGTACAGCTGCCGACGTTAGTGTTGACCGGGAAGCTGGTCTGTGTCGCCGGTGCCTCTGTGGCAGGAGCGGGCGTCGTCGGGGCTGCAGTCGATGCCGCTGGAGTTGTCGGGAGTTGTGTTGACCCGGGCGCTGCCGTTGTTTGGGCCCGCGCGCTCAGTAGTATGCCAAGGAGTACGAAACAAGTCGTGAAAAACAAAATGTGGAATGTTGCCGCCATCTTGGTTTAACCGTCTCTATGGTGCGGTCAAAGGTCAATATGTGTTAATGTATTTTTTTTTATTTCAAAATTTATATCTGAATGGGGAGGATAATATGCCCAAGGTGTAAAAATTCGTCTCTGTGTATGTGTGTGGGAAGGGAACTCCTACTAACTGTGGCTAACAGAAAAAAACTGAAAATGGCACATGCGCACTGCTCCCCAGTTCGACGCGGTGTTTTTGAGTTCTTGTATTCATGGTTTACCAGGATGATTTCCAAACTCACGACATCAAGAGTAAATATTCCACCCAAAACGTGACGGAACTAGAACGGACGTCTGCGTATAGTAAGTGTTCACGTCTTTGTTGTTTGAGATGAAAAGGTTTCTCAGAAAGAAATGCTGAAACGAATTCCGTAGCGAAACCTGTTTTTCATTTTGAGTCTTTCTTCTGACCGCCATCTTGCTACTTGGGAGACATACTCCTTTCACTTCCTAGCCCGGTATTTTGCGAATTATTTACAAATATGTCGCGCACGGTAAAATTAATAAGTGACTGTCGCAAACAAACAATTATGGAAGAATTAATTAGCCAATCTACAGAAATAAACCGTACTACATAATTTTTTGTACTAGTACAACTGTTTTTGCATAATTTTTGTGTCGGGAAAAGGTGAAAAATGTGATACACTGATAATTATGATAAATTGTATTGAAATTTTTATACAGCTGGGCCACCTCCTGTTCAGTTTTGAACCGGGAGAGAAACCCTGTACCTACCCTCGCCCTTTTTTCATTGGAGGGGGGGGCACTTTCCATGACTATAACTGTCTTCAGATAAAAGATACAATATTATTTTTACTTTTATTAGAAAGCTGCGATTGTAAGCTTTCCAGAACTATATAGTTCTATATGTACATATAGAATACAACATGGGGTATTCCGTATCGCCCGAGGTATCGGCCCGACCGCGGGTCCGACTCGCGGGAGGGCCGGGACAGAGGGCGATGCGGTATACACCGTGTTGTATTTTATTTATGTCATACCCACCCAAGAAAACACGCCTTTCAATGCAAGATGAGCCAAAAGTTGGTGCCCCTAAACCCTCAAATGCAACAACATCAATTCTAACGTCCGGATTCTGGATACGAATTTTCGAAAGCGGCGCACACAGTTAGGGCAAAACACGTTTGAATCGTTCTATGGAAGCAATGGAGCCCGGGCCGTACCGTAAAGTACGGCCCAGTCCGGAACTCATTATCGAACGTTATTGCGGTCCGGGTATGATATAAAAACATATACATAGTTTGGTGTTGTTAAATTGGTGTGGCCTTACGTTTCAGCCCTGCACATTTGTCTGCCACCAGCCCTGAATCAGGGGCAATATTACTTTTAAGTTTTAATCAGGATCATGTGAAATTGATGATAGATGGGAAATTGATGATAGATGGTGAAACAGTGATCAGACTCTTCCTTCATGTTGTCCCCAATGTTAGAAATAGAATAACCGTACGTGAAGACCTGGTGTGATCTATCTGCCATGTCAGACTCTGCAGCTGTATCAGTAAAGCCAACTTATAACCACCCTTCGGCGTAACACACCAGCTTTGCAGACGCGTGGCGTGGCGGCAGCTAGCCATATGACACTGAACAACTTGTTACACTCAATCTTTGCACATTTGATTGCAGGAGTTGTTTAAAGCTTTCTAGTGATGATGCCCCAACTGTGCTTGGTGGCAACGAGTTCCAGTCTACAAATACAAGTTTTTGAACACCTCAATTCTTGGTTGATAACTCTGATATTTGAAAATTGAAGGCATGACTGTTTCTTGTTCTTTTCTGGGCTGGTATCAGATACTTAGTGGTTGGTACGTCCACCAGTTTATTAGTCATTTTGTACATCATCCTTCCTTCCTTCATGTTGTTCCCAATGTTAGGATGACCGTACGTGAAGACCTGGTCCATCTGCCATGAGTTCTACAGCGGAGAAGAAGTTCTCCAACCTGCGGCGTCGGCTGGACCAGCTGGGCTATCGGCAGCCGCTGGGCGTTGAAAGCCTGCCCCTGGTGGAGAAACTGTTTGCAGACCTGGTTCATACAACAGAGAGCCTCAAAAACCTGAAATTGCAGGTATGTACTCGTATATTACTGTATACATTACTTACTTACATGTACTTAGGCCACACCAATTTAATTCCTTGGTTAACAGATTTTTCTAGAAAAATAATGGAGCGGGCGGGCGAAAAAAACAAGGCCTAGGCATCCTATTATGTCCCAAAATGATATGATAGGAGCCATGAAGTCAACACACCAGGCTGGTTCAAAATTTAAACAATAAATTTTGAACTTTTAATGATTGTTACCATTGCATTGAAACTTTGAAAGATGGAATAACTGTAACAACTAGGATGAAAAGGACTGTTTTCAACTGTTCGGGGCAAAATATGAGCATTTTGCAGTTGATTCTGAATTTTTATTTCCAAATCAGAAAAAAATGAAGCGGGCGAATCTGTTAACCAAGAAATTACTGGTAAATTGGTGTGGCCTTACTTTGGTCGAGCTCCCGCTCGAACCAAACACTTGTAAGCATCCACCATCCCTGACTCTCTGTCCTCCATCAGAGACTGGATTTCACCTACATGTACTTCAGTTAGGCTGGTGTCAATGATCTAAGGTGGTCAATGTAGTAATTCCTACATGTACGTAGGTCTCCCTTGACTTCTTTCCAGGCCTTTTGTACTATTGTAGGCTCCCAAAGGACAAGGTTGGAAGCTACAATGTCAGGATGTCTGACGCAGTGTGCAGCTAGTTTCATCCTGCGAGTTTTGATTTTCTCTGTAACTGTTAGCAAATCCTGATACAGGTGCTCATTGGGGACTGGGGTTTTTCCTTCCAGATGTTCAGACATATAGTATACGGAGTATTTATACACTTCTTGAGGGATTTAGTGAGCGTACAAGCTTCTTCCATACAGTAGGATTAATTCTACTGTGGCAATGAAGAGAATTTTGGTATAAATATACATGTATTTATTGTTCATGTGTCTTCAATTTTGAAATTGTGGCGAAAATCAATGCGCGCGCGGAATGTCATCCATAAATATAGTATAGCCTAAGCAGGGTATTTGTAATTTTGTTTTGGTGCAGAGTAGCAAAGTGTCGCAGCAGCCCAGAGAGACTGAGGATGACACAGCAGAGCCGTATCGCACAGAGAACGCTCGACTGGTGTCAGAGAACACCCAGGTACACCTAGAACTCATCAACATCAAGGAAGGAGCAGAAAAACAAGCTAAAGGTACGGAAGTGTACATGTATGTGCAAGTATGACATTTTTAACATCAAAATTCACTTAGTTTGATTCTTAAGAAGCTTTGATTGGCTTGTTTTAAAACTTGGTAGGTGGGTACGCCTTGATCAAACCTAGAAATGATTAGATTTTGGACCCCCTGGCAGCTTTCCTTGGTAATGCAGCGGAACGTCCAGTTTTCATATCGCGTGATCTGGACATGATAGGGTCAGGTAGGTGCATGGCTCTTGACAGGAAGAATTGGCATTAGTTTAGTCCCCCTGGCAGCTTGTTATGGAACTGCAGGTCCTAGAGCATTTGTTTAAAAATCTTTTGAGGAAGAATAACTCAAGAACTGGTCAACACATTACAGACTATCATGATTTTTGGTATGTGCATGTAGGTAGCTGAAGTGATGCTTGACATGATCATATAACAATTATGTTAATCAAGATCTAATTTGCAAGACTAAATCAGTTGAGCTCGATAATATTGATAGTATTACAACTACCGTATTTAATTTAGAGCAATAGGATCGTTGGCAAATATATTGATTATGGAAATTAAGACCTAGTTTGCATAATAATGGGAAATTGTTATAATTTCAAAATGATAACTGCTAGGAGTTTAATACTAGTACTTGCTGCATTCATTCAATATGCGAGTGTCATTGAATATTATTTATTCAAATCAGGACCTCATTTGTATAATTAATGAGGAAATGGTACAGTACCGACCTTGGAATGCACATGAAATCCCGCGGGATACTCGGTGGGATCTTGCTGGATATCCCACGGGATTTCCGCCATATGCTGATCTCTCCCATAGCCCATCTTTGGTGTGAGACCTTAAAGTTTTGCACAAGTCCTGATAGCTCAATTGGTAGAGTGCCTCGCTTTGTAACCGGGAGGTCGTGATTTCAAACCCCGGCCCGGTCACACCAAAGACTTTAAAAATGGTACACAGTTCTTTCTCTGCTTAGCACCCAGTACATACAATGTATGAGAAAGAGTGTGGGAAGGTCAAACACACAGCACTACCAGCGGACCAGCCCCCTGCTGTATAATTAGTGCACAACTGTGTGTTGCCCAAGGGCTACGGAAATGGATATGGGCACCAAACCCTATGGTCTGCACAGAGCACGGGAGACCTGAAAGTGCCAGTTATCCTTTTTTAGAAGCATTTCTTCTTGTTGTGTTCTAAAGTTGTTTTTGAGAATTGCTTAATCCACAAATCCTGAGTGTAATTTTACACTGAATGAACAGAAAGATAATGACGCCCAATTTAATGCCAACATCAATAATTTAGTTCACCCTTGAGTTGGCAGGTGGGCTAAACGCAGGATTACAACTAGAATTTGACCTGCCAACATGTACTCTACCAAACCCCGGCGTAAAGGCTGTTCTGTGTGTGGCTATGTTGTTTCCCATGTTGTGATATCAGCAGGGAGAGACAGTAGGAGATGTGGTAAGGACTACACAGTCAACTGATATCAGGGCATGGTGTTATATGGACACAGTGATACCACATGATAGCAGGCTGCAGGGTTCTAGCTAGTGCAAAGTAGCATAGGGGCTCCCTACGCTATAATTTGACCCCCTATGCTAAATTTCCCCCCTATGCTAATTTTTAATACAGCATAGGGGCATTGTGACTGTATTTCTTTGTTCAAGAATGCCAGATCAAATGTGAAAAATCAAGGATCATACTACATTGTACATACCTTAGAAATATTTTTTTTTCCTTTTGGGTATCCCTCAAATCGCCTCAAATTTTTAAAAGCTCCGCTTCGCTCCCTCATCATGCGGCCAGTGCCACTACGCTAAAATTAAATCCTAGCTAGAACCCTGGGCTGGCTATGTTCTGTGTGGTATGCAGCTCCTGCAATAGTAATGTATATGTGCTATCAGTATGTGTTACTACTACTAGGCTCTTCATTTTGCTGGGATGCTTGAATTGTTCAACTTGGCTATGAGCTGTGGCTATATAATATGTAACTGTACCAGTGTCATTAACCACATACTGTGCAGTTACGTATTTTGATCACTAGAAATTGAGGAATAGTATGACTGCCACATGGGTATGTAGAAAAAAGAATGTACCTTTACATAACATGCAGTTGTAGGTCTTTCTATTCTGTATTGTCCTCAAATAACCCTCACAAAGGACCGATCAAGGATCATTAATCAATTTGTTCAATGAGATGTTAGATAGACATTTGACTTCTGATGTAATAATATATTGCAGGGCTCAAAATTCATTTTTGGGAGTAGGTGCACTGGTGCACCCAACCTAAAAATTGGGTGCACAAAAAATATTTTAGGTGCACTATACAGGTAAAATAAGAATGTCTGACTTAGCAAAAACTATCATTATGTTTCATTACAAGAAAAGGACTATTAGTATAACAATGATTGTATTATTGTTTCTGAAACTTAGATGTTAAGAATATGCTGTAACTACTAGACATATAATATCTTTACATACGTTAAACCTAAGAAAATGCACCCACAGAAAAAAAAATTGTGTGCACATGCACCCAGTATTTTGGGCCCTGTATTCCCAAGTGGAGCTTGTTTTAGTTTACAATTTAACTTTAATAGTAGTTAGGTATGCTTATATGGGTGGAACTTAATTTTTGATCAATTGATTGTTTTATTTAATGTATAAATTAGCAGCAGGTACAGGGCTAGAATTAATTTTTGGGAATAGGTGCACTAGTGCACCCAACCTGAAAAATTGGGTGCACAAAAAAAATTGGGGTGCACCAAAATTATAAAATGTCAGCAACTACAATGTCAGCAACAACTAATTATATTTCATTTCTAAAGGAAAGTACTACAACAATGGTTTTATTGTCTTTCTGACACTTAAATCTTAAGAATTTGCTGTATCCTACTAAAAGAATACATTAAACATTTTAAACCTGTGAACATATTTGGGTGCACTGGTGCACCCACAAAAAAATGGGTGCACAGCTTCAAATTTGGGTGCATTAAGGTGCACATGCACCCAGTATTTGATAATTAGTTGGGAACATTGTTGCCCTAAGGTGTCATGTACAATAGTGCACTTCTCTCTTAGTGACTTAACCCTGTGATTAAAATGTTCAGTCTTGGTGTGTGTATCAGTGTCAATGTTGTTGTGTGTGCTTGTTTAGATCTCAAGGCAACCATCCGGAAACTTGAACATGAGAATGCTGATCTACGCTTCCTCAACACACAGTACATCCACAAGGTAGACTTCATGTTCTTCTTATGTTAGCATGAAAGTTCATCTGTGTTGGTACAAGTCATTATGAAATAAAGACTAAGCTTCAACTTCCAACACTTAGATTACTGAATTGGGACTTACCCCAAATTTTCGGTTGACTCCATCAACCTTGTTCACGGAATGAATCCATCTACTCTTGGAACGTGACGTCAGAGACAAAGGAGGCGATCTACATAAGAGCCCACAGACTGAACAGAGACGGGGGGCGACACAAGTTATCTGGCACGTATGACCCGCTACTACGGTCACGTGTCTCTGACGTCACGTTCCAGGAGTAGACGGGTCCATTCCGTGAACAAGGTTGATGGAATCAACCGAAAATTTGGGGTAAGTCCCAATTCCGTAATCTAAGTGTTGGAAGTTAAAGCTTACCTTGTAAGTTCTTACATATGTTGTTACATTCATATGATTTCACCCTTTATTGAGCTGAGGACTAGGACAAAACATGATGTTGTGTTTCCTGTTTCCCGAGTGACCCTAAAAGAAATGCAGATTTTAGCCTTTTTGTGTGGACTACACTTGTGTGAAGCAAGGGACAATAACAATTTTTAGAGCTGATCGACCCTTTCTAGCTCCATGATCTTACACCTGTGATGAAACGTACAATCTGTTTTCCAACTTTGACGTTGAAAATGTCAGTGCTCTCTTGCAAGTTTTTCTTTGTTAAACTGTATTGTAGAAGTTAAGATCACTAAAGTAGAGACCACCTAAAAAAGAAACAAGTGACTGTGTCCATAGGAAATATGCATTTACAAATAAAAACTGCTACTGTAAAAAGAAAGAAACGTGCATCATCACGAACATAAATACAACGGACACAATCATATCTTTTTCCTGCAAACACATTTAAAATCAGCGCCCATACATAAACACTGGCCAACCCACAGCTGTTTCTGATTAACCGATCCACCCTACGTCTGCTTGAGAACCCCCACCCCCCGCTATTGAAAACAACAGGTTTTTCGCTGCCAGTCCAATATGCCCTTTAATATAGGGGTGCATCTGAAATATTCCATTGATAGCAAAAACAGCTACGGTAAAAGTAAAAATACATGCATCATCACGGGCATGCCTGCAGACGATGTATAAAATTACATAATGATTAAACTAAGGGAACTCTGTGTTTTAGCTGCGAACACAAAAAACGTCTGACCACAATACTCCTGCAGGAGGTATACCTCCTTCAAGGAGTAAAAAAAAGAAAAACTCCCTACCTTCAGTACAGGACTGAAGAAACAAACACAAAACTTTTTTTGTAGGCCCTATCAGTATCACATCATTTGGGGCTATGTAGGGTGCCTGTAAGAGGCGGCTGTATACATGTATATCCTCGGCCTAGTCTAGTCTGCCCAGGTCTATGATATGTATTGTGTGTGACTAGGGCTGCATAATAGTATTGGCCCGGTCTGAAAAAAACGGAATGTCGGTGGACCGGTTTTTTGGACCAGAACAAAAATTCATACTTGATCACTACACACAAGGAGGCCTGCCAGGAAAATGAACATTCAGCGTTAAAATAAAGAGATTTACCTGAAGTTTCCGTCTCTGAAAACTAATGAGAGGTGAGATAGGAAACCTACATGTAGTTGTATCATCCATGGTTATATTTGATGTTCTTTGAAAGATACACAACAAAATTGTCAACAGTTTCTGTCATTATTGAAGAATTTCAGTAGAACATGTGACGCGCATGAATTTTCAGGTACAGGTACAGGTCCGGACCTTAGACCTAAACCTCTGTACCTGTACCTGATGTTACGAAAAGGTACGCAGCCCTATGTGTGACGTGGTGTCTGTGTAAATGTACAGGTTCGTGCTGTGGAGAGAGATAAGAAATCCATGAAAGACAAGATCCAGCAGCTTCAGGAGAAAAACCTCCAGGCCGTGGTGCAGACTCCAGGTAACAATGCAACCAATACATACAATAGGGTCTAACACCCACGCACATGTCAAAACTTGCAATGTCATGACTACTGTAGTATGACGGCTTAGACATTAAACAGCCTCATGCCCGTAGCCAGGATTTTCCTACTGTCCGTTAGGTACTGTACATAGCTTCCTTGAAAATAGAACCTTCTGAAATAGCAGTTTCTGCATTTTGAGTACACATTTTGTATTTCAAGTAAAAATTAGAGACAAAAAGCATTCTAGTCCCGCTGGTGATACAAATCAGTCCACCTTTTAAAGAAAAATCTTGGACCTTTACAGAAAAAAGTGGACCCTTGAGTGGGGGGGGGGGTTCCCTGGCTACGGGCATGAGCTCAATGTCTCTTTTACCAGGTCCCTATAATTTATAGTAATAAAAATTTGATACAATTATCTTCACCCCCTTTGTGACAAATGAATGATTGTTGAAATTGGAGACATGATGATATAGTTATTACCTACATGTACATGATGTAAATAAGTAATAGACCCATTCAACTTTCACGGATCGCATAAACTGCTTACGTCACAGGGGGGACATTTCGAAAGAACGTCGTTCAAGAACGCTGAAGTCGAACGCAGCTTGCGCTCGCGGTGTCCCCCTTGGCAGATAATTTTTTTTACTAAAAGGTTACGGTAAGGCCACACCAATTTAATTTCTTGGTTAACGGATTCGCCGCTTCATTTTTTTCCGATTTGCAAATAAAAATAAAAATCCAGAATCAACTGCAAAATGCTCATATTTTGCCCTGAACAGTTGAAAACAGACGTTTTCATCCTAGTTATTACAGTTGCTCCATCTTTCAATGCAATGGTATCATTAAAAGTTCATAATTCATTGTTTAAATTTTGAACCAGCCTGGTGTGTTGACTTCATGGCTCCTATTGTACCATTTTGGGCCATAATACGATGCCTAGGTCTGTTTTTTTTTTTTTCGCCCGCCCGCTCCATTATTTTTCTAGAAAAATCCGTTAACCAAGAAATTAAATTGGTGTGGCCTAAGTATCTATTTTCTCGGTAATATATGCGGAAATGACAGGAAGACAGGCACCAACTTTGTGTGGTGGCACTACGTTCAACAATTTAATGTTAATTTGTTCTGTGACGTATGCAGTTTATGCGTCCCGTGAAAGGAACTTTCGAAATGTCCCCCCTGTGATCTTGTTTCTATTCGAAATGTCCCCCCTGTGACGTGGTGTCTACTCGAAATGTCCCCCTGTGATGTAAGCAGTTTATGCGATTCGTGAAAGTCAAATGGGTCTATTAAAGTACAGGCTAAGTGTCCAGTTTTCCCCTGACTGTAGGTGGGAAGAAGCGGAACATTCCGTTCCACAGACAGCGTATGGAGATAGACTCGCTGGTGCCCCCAGCAGACCCCCCCAGCCCCCCGCCCAGCCCCCTGGTGGAGGACCCTTACATTGCAGACCTGCTGGAGGTGGCAGACAACAGGATAGAGACCCTCACCAAGGACAGCCAGAGGTTACATGAGGACAAGGAGTCATTGGACAGAAGAATCAAGACACTGACTCGACAGGTACCATTTTATTAGTAGTCAGTAGAGTAGAGCAGAGCATTGCAGAGTAGAGCTGTCAGTCGGGTGCAGCAGACAGGCAAAGGCAAGGTTCATGCAGAGCTTCTTCTTCTCAGAGCTGCCTACACCTCAGCAAGCACAGAGCACTCTGCTCTACTCTACTCTGCTTTACTCTACTCTATTCTACTTTGCTGTACTCTGCTCTGCTCTACTGTACTCTATTCTACTCTACTCTTTTCTACCAGTGTAACTCTATTCTACTCTGCTCTGCTCTATTCTACTCTACTCTTCTCTATTCTACTCTACACTTCTCTACTCTGCTCTACTCTATTCTACTCTGCTCTGCTGTACTCTGCTCTGCTTTTACTCTGTGAGGCCACACCAATTTAATTTGTTGGTTCTCGGTTTCACCTCTTCATTTTTTTCTGGTTTCAAAAAAAAAAAAAGATTCTGGTTCTGAATCAACCCAAAATTGCTCATATTTTTCCCCCATCAGTTGAGGAAAGTCCTTTTCTTCCTAGTTGTTACAGTCTTTTCACATATCAATGCAGTGATTTGATTAAAAGTTCAAAATTCATTGTTTGAATATTAACCCATCCTATTGTACTCTTATAGCATTTAGGGCTATAATAGTATGCCTAGACCTCTTTTTAGTTTTATTTATTTTGCCCTGTTCTCTTCATATTTTTTTCTGAATAAATCCGCAGGAGTATTGTGGCCAGATGGTTTTTCATGTTCGCACCAAAATACAGGGTTCTCTTTGTTTAATCGGCATGTAATTTTATACGTCATCTGCTGGCATGCCAGTGGTGATGCACATGTCTTTATTTCTACCGTAGCAGTTTTCGCGGTCAATGTAATATTTCTGATGCACCCCTACATTTATGAGCCAAATTGGAATGGCCGAGAAAAACCTGTTGTTTTGAGTAGCGGGTGGGGGGTGGGGGTTCGTTTTTCTCAAGCAGACGTTGCGGTGGGTCGGTAATCAGAAACAGTTGCGGGTCGCCTGTTCTTAAACGTATGGGGCTGTTTTTCAAATGTGTTGGCAGCTCAAAGTCATAGTTCTCGGTGTTGTATTTCTATGTAATTGGGCATGTGGTGTGCCAATATGTTCGTGATGATGCACGTTTTTTTCTTTTCACCATAGCAGTTTTCATATTGAAGTAAATGCATATCTCAGAAACACCCCTATTTTTGTAATCCCATGGAATAGGCCATAGCTTAAGTAGCTGTGTTGTAGGCGAGATTCTGGAAGCAGATATTACTCTGATGTCCCGATTAAACGTACCGGTACGTTTATTTTTTTCGGCCCGAACGTCCACCCGGTACACTCTTATTAGGGACGGTACGTTTATTAATTTTTGGGGAAAAATTGTCCATACGTACCGCACCATCAGCAAGTGGCCGGCGGCCGCAAAATTCGGCAACACGTCACAGATAAATATTTGGTCCATGATAGCGGCATTTCCCATGAATATAATGTATATTATTTATTTTTCGCCTGCTGTCCATTTTTAAGTCCCAAAACGTCTGAAAAAGCAAAAATTTGCCCACAAAACCGAAGGGGAAGGCGAGTAGCTAATCGACGTATTTAGCACATGGCGGCCGCAAGTCCTTGTCAAAATCGGCAACGCGGCAGAAAAATGCCTGGTCCATTTTAGCGATATTTACCATGAAAATAACGTATGTGGTTTATTTTCCCTCTGGTGTTAGTTTTTAGGTCCCGAAACCCCTAAAAAAGTAGAAATTTGCCCACAAGACGGACGGCCGACGTGGGGAGGGCGCCTAGCGCCTGAGCAGCATGACCCGTAGAAAGTCAAAGGTCATAGGGCACCCATATTGCGCAATCACCGTAAAAGCGCCGATTTAGCTAATTTTAGGGCGTTTAAAATTGATACAATCACATTATCGATTTTTAAAAAAACAATGAGATGGAAACCAATCAAAATTTTATGCTGAATAATATTTTTTTTCTTCAAAAGTTTTCTTCTTCAGAAGTTTTCTTCTTCAGAATCCAGAGTGACTTTGACCAGACTAGACAATGTACCATACCAAATAATTATTATGTGGAAATGGATTTTGTTGTACATATACTCATTAAACCCCTATATTTGTACTTAATTGGGCTTGATTTTCTATCTCTTAAGTTAGTCAGATTTTCAACTCAAGTTGCAGGAGAAGGCTTAGCAAAGTGCATTTCAGAAGTGTAAAATGCAATAGCTTCTCCTACGGATTTTGTATTTCCCCAAAACAAGTACAATATATATATACTCATTAATTAAAGTGATATATACTCACTAATTAAATGTAACAGTGAAAGATTTGCCCATATATTGGTATTGAAATAAAGAGCACATTTTAGTATCATGGACACACAGTTCACCTGTCAATTTGGTCATTTTCCGGGGGGTACGTTTATTCCGGAGGGTATGTTTATTAGACTTTGAAGATTTGTCCGGGGGGTATGTTTATTCCGGGGGGTATGTTTATTAGGGACATGAGAGTAGGTGGTTGTTGTGTAAAATCGTTTGCGAGTATCTGTTGGGATTATGACTTATGGTATGCACCTGCTACGATGCCTTGTCAAATAAATAATATGTAGCAAAGAAAAGATACTGTTATCAAAGATGACTTTTCTCCTGTTTAGATTGTCGTGTTGTTGAGCTTATGTACATGTATAATTTTACAAAATGTAAAACTTCACAGAGAATTGTCGCCTATGGACACTTTTTTTTTTCATAAAAAATCGAAGAAGGAACAAATAAAATTGATGCGGCCCAAGTAACATCGGTTAGCTGAGTCAGTATAAGGCCACATCAATTTAATTTCTTGGTTAACAGATTCGTCCGCTTCATTTGTTTCTGATTTGCAAATAAAAATAAAAATTCAGAATCAGCTGCAAAATGCTCATATTTTGCCCTGAACAGTTGAAAACAGTCCTTTTCATCCTAGTTGTTACAGTTATTCCATCTTTCAATGCAATGGTATCATTAAAAGTTCAAAATTCTTTGTTTAAATTTTGAACAAGCCTGGTGTGTTGACTCCGTAACTCCTATCGTACCATTTTGGGCCATAATAGGATGCCTAGGACTGTTTTTTTTTTTCGCCCGCCCGCTCCATTATTTTTCTAGAAAAATCCGTTAACCAAGAAATTAAATTGGTGTGGCCTAGTAATGAGTGATCACTGTCCCCGAGCCCAGTCCATTTATATGTGTTTAAGTAAACAATGAAGTGAGCTGTGAAAATATAGGGCATGAGTGACCACATGATAATAGGTGATAACAGCAGGACCTCCCCCTCATGTTTATCAATAGATGATAATTACCTGGACCTGTTAAGCCAGTTCACCTGCATACTGAGGGATAGTAACAGACAGCACAGTGGGGAAACTATCTCACACGGTGTGGCAAGCATGACTTCATGTATATGACTACTGTTTTATTGTCTGTTTAGTGTTAGATATGGGGTCAATGAATGACTGGGTAAGTACTACTTTGCATTGGTTGTTACACTTATGGGACAATCTTATCTGGCATAGTGAAACATGTTGCAGTGCAGTTGTTGTTATAACATGCAGTCATACAGTTGATGGAGTAACATTTAGGCAACCTCTACTCCAGATATTTGCTGTACTTTGATAATCGTTTTTTTTAGGTTACTTCTGTACTGCGAATTTATCATTACCCCAAATAATTTGCCTACTTAAATTTCTTTCTTCTGCACCTGCTGCCACCGTGAACATACATGTGTAGTTCCATGAACAATTGTCCATTTTTCTCAGACTGCAAAACTCTGCTACTGAGAATATTAAGTGATTTGCAGTATTGTCAGTACTCATTGTAACATGTCGTATGGGTTTATAGTGAACCGTCAACAAGTTTGAACTTTTCTTTGCAATCTTAACAAGAGAATCATGTCCAAGACTATCTTCTGGAATCTTTTGGAGTTCTTGTTTTAGAAGTTATGACGTTTTGGAATTGATTGTGGGTTCTGATGATATTAACTCCTGTCATCCTGGTACTACTGTTCTAACTGGAGATAAAATTGTGAAGGCAAACTGGTTTCTCATCTTTCTTAAAGACAGCACATCAGACACAATTAGAAAGTTTTCTGTGCCTAAGTTCCCAAAGGACGAGTCAGTTAAGGATATACCAGAAATTATAATTCAGGAATGAAAAATTTTAACAAAATGTGGCAGAACAAATTAATTGCTTATTTTCCAAACTAACAACTAGACATGTTCTAACTGTGAAATTTCAGTTTTCTTATTTCCTTTGCTTGTCTATCCCATACTGAATGTTATGGAATTGTCATTTATTCAGGTATTCATGCATTATAACTATATAAGGAAGTGTTGGTGCAGGTGCCCCCCCCCCCAAAAAAAAATAGTAATCTGAGGATGAAAGATACAGAATAGCCCAATACATTATGGCTGTTGTACCTTTTTATTTCACATTCCAAAAGTCTTTCTCCCAAGTTCCCTCTCTCAGAAGAAAAATAGATATTACATAATTACCTTCGCCAAGAAGGTTATGTTTTCAGAGGCGTTCGTGTATGTGTGTGTGTGTGTGTGTGTGTGTGTGTGTGTGTGTGTGTCAACAGCATAACTCGAGAAAGCTTAGATGGATTATCTTGATATTTGGTAGGTGGGTAGGTCTTGATGAGACCTCAAATGATTAGGTATTTTGGGGCCCCCTGGCGGCTTGTCATGGTACTGCAGCTGTAACTTCCGGTTTTGATATCTCATGATCCAGACATGCTAGGGTGACGAAATTTGGATGGCAGGTAGCTCTTGTGCTGGGGATGAAGTGACATGAGTTTGAGTCCCCTAGTTGCTTGCTCTAGAACTGCAGGGGGGTTTAAAGGACAAATGTTTAAAAGAGGATAACTCGAGAACCGATTGATGGATCATCGTGATTTTTGGTATGTAGGTAGCTTGAGTGATGCTTGACATAATGATATTACAATTATGCAAATATTGATGTAATTTGCATAATTAATGA